AAACAAACACGTTCTTGTTTTTTACTATTTTCCATCCTTAACTGAGTGAATAGGTAAATATTTTTTAAATATTGCTACTGACAAGAATCTGAGCCACTGGCATTTGTGTTTAACAAACACATTCTTGTTTTGTATTCCAAGTTTGTTTCTTAATTTATTTTGAATAAGTCTAAAGTTTGAAAATATGGGCTGTATGGAATCTGAAGTGGCAGGCATACCCAAAACAGGGTTCTTAGGTTTTATGTTTGGTAGAGAATGAAAATTTCCAGTTACTCCAGAAAGTCACTTTTTCTTGTTAGTTTGACTAAAGTAAACCATTACTTGCTTTACTTGTACAATTTTTTCACACACAGATTAGCTCAAATATACTTCAATATATTAGGTTTATGCTGGTATGATTATATTAAAAAAAAATTTCTTCTTTTAAAAATCCAAAACGGCTGGAGTTTATATACATCTTTTAATTACTTTCATAATATGTACTTTTTAGCTCGACTATATGAAGTATATGGAGAGCTGTCCTACTCGCACCAGCGTCCGCATCCAGATTTCAGATTAAAGTTTTGGTGCAGTAAAATATTTTTCACTATAACTGTCATTTCTTAAGGTATCAACTTCAAACTTCAAATATATGTTCCTTATCATCAACCACATCTTATGTGACAAGGTTCATAACTCTAGCACCAATGTTTTCAGATTAATCTCCCCTTGAACTTAGAATTTTCCTTAAAAAATACTATTTTTAGCTCACCTGTCACAAAGTGATAGGGTGAGCTTTTGTGATCGCTTTTCGTCCGGCGTCCGTCCGTTGTCCGTCTTCCGTCGTCCGTAAACTTTTACTTTAAATGACATCTCCTCATAAACCACAAGGCCAATTTCATCCAAACTTCACAGGAATGTTCCTTTGGTGGTCACCTTTAAAAATTGTTCAAAGAATTTAATTCCATGCAGAACTCTGGTTGCCATGGCAACCGAAAGAAAAAACTTTAAATATCTTCTTTAAAAAAACCATAAGAGCTAGAGCTTAGATATTTGGCATGAAACATCTTCTAGTGAGTGTCTACCAAGTTTGTTCAAATAAAAGCCCTGGGGTCAAAATTGGCCCCGCCCCGGGGGGTCATTGATTTTCCCTATATGCATATAGTAAAAACTTAAAAATCTTCTTTTAAAGAACTCAAAGAGCTATGGCTAAGATATTGAGCATCAAACATGTTCTAATAGGTGTCTAACAAGTTTGTTCAAAGAAAATCCCTGGGGTCAAAATTGGCCCCGCCCCAGGGGGTCATTGATTTTCCCTATATGCATATAGTAAAAACTTAAAAAATCTTCTTTTAAAGAACCAAAAGAGTTAGAGCTAAGATATTTAGCATTACACATGTTCTAATAAGTGTCTACCAAGTTTGTTCAAATCAAAGCCCTTGGGTCAAAATTGACCGCCGCCCCGGGGGTCATTGATTTTCCCTATATATGCATATAGTAAAAACTTAAAAAATCTTCTTTTAAAGAACTCAAAGAGCTATGGTTAAGATATTTAGCATCAAACATGTTCTAATAGGTGTCTACCAAGTTTGTTCAAATAAAAGCCCTGGGGTCAAAATTGGCCCCGCCCCGGGGGTCATTGATTTTCCTTATATGTGTATAGCAAAAACTTAAAAAATCTTTTTTGAAAAAACCCAAATAGCTAGAGTTAAGATATTAAGCATGAAACATCTTTTAGTGAGTGTCTACAAAGTTTGTTCAAATAAAAGACCTGGGGTCAAAATTGGCCCCGCCCCGGGGTCATTGATTTTCCTTATATGTGTATAGCAAAAACTTAAAATCTTCTTTGAAAAAAACCCAAATAAAAGCCCTGGGGTGAAAATTGGCCCCGCCCGGGCGGGTCATTGATTTTCCCTATATGCATATAGTAAAAACTTAAAAAAATCTCCTTTTAAAGAACTCAAAGAGCTATGGCTAAGATATTGAGCATCAAACATGTTCTAATAGGTGTCTACCAAGTTTGTTCAAATACAAGCCCAGGGGTCAAAATTGGCCCCGCCCCGGGGGTCATTGATTTTCTTTATATGTGTTTAGCAAAAACTTTAAATCTTCTTTGAAAAAAACCCAAATAGCTAGAGTTTAGATATTAAGCATAAAACATCTTCTAGTAAGTGTCTACAAAGTTTGTTCAAATAAAAGCCCTGGGGTCAAACCTGGCCTGGCCCCAGGGGTGTCATTGTTTTTAACTATATGTGTATAGTAAAAACTTTAAAAAAATCTTCTTTTAAAAAGCCCATTGAGCTAGAGCTTAAATGTTTAGCATGAAACATCTTCTTATGGGTGTCTACCAAGTTTGTGCAAATAAAAGCCCTTGGGTTAAATTGGCTCTGCAACATTGGGGGTGGGGTGGGGGCTGGGGGGGCTATATACAGGTGAGCGACCTCAGGGCCATCATGGCCGTCTTGTTAAGTTTTAAAGGTATCTACTTCAAACTTTAAATACTTATTCCTTATCATCAATTACATTTTATGTGACAATGTTCATAACTCTTGAAGCAATTTTCACAGATTTATCTCTCTTTGAACTTAGGATTTTCTTTAAGAAATATTATAATTTCTTTACTTTTTAAGGTATCTACTTCAAACTTCAAATATATATTTCTTATCAAAACACACATGTTGTGTGACAAGGTTCATAACTCTAGCGTGACTATTTCTAGAATTATTTACCTTGATCTTGGAATTTATGTTAACAAATGTTATTTTTTTACTATAACTTAATATATAATAATACATAATTGATTTTTCTTTTATAGTTTTGTCCTCCTTACAGCTTCCAGTATTTTATTAGTCGAGCTTGGCTGTCTCCTGTGACCGCTCTTGTTCCGATTCAAATCTGAACTTTGTGATATCAGTTTTAGATTTAAATTTTATATCTGTTTTTAGCTCACCTGTATGTAACATCTTCTAATGGGAGTCTACCAAGATTGTTCAAATAAAAGCCCTGGGGTCAAAAGTTGCCAAGCCCCAGGGGATCTGACATTGATTTTCCTTTATAATGTACATTGTTAAAACTTAAACAATTTTCTTTAAAAAAAAACCAAAGAGAGAGAGCTTAGATATTAAGCCTAAAAAATCTTAGTGCCCCAGGGTCCAAAGTTGCCCTGCCCAAGGAGGTTATTGATTTTCCGTCATATGTATATAGTAAAAACTTAAAAAATATTCTTTTAAAAAACTCAAAGAGCTAGAGCTTAGACATTAAGCATGAAAAATCTTTCTAAAAGTGTCTACCAAGTTTGCTCGAATAAAAGCCCTATAAGGTCAAAATTGGCCCCGCCCCAGGGGGTCATTGATGTCTCTTATATGTACACATTTTTTGGAACTGTTGTTTTCCTTTCATAATATGTACTTTTTCAGATACAAATCTGAACTTTGTGATATCAGTTTTAGATTTAAATTTTATATCTGTTTTCAGCTCACCTGTCACAAAGTGACAGGGTGAGCTTTTGTGAATGCTATTCGTCCGGCGTCCGTTCTTCGTCCGTCCGTCCGTAAACTTTTACTTTTAATGACATCTCCTCATAAACCACTAAGCCAATTTCATCCAAACATCACAGGAATGTTCCTTTGGTGGTCACCTTTAAAAATTGTTAAAAGAATTTAATTCCCTGCAGAACTCTGGTTGCCATGGCAACGAAAGAAAAACACTTTAAATATCTTGTTTTAAAAAACCGTAAGAGCTAGAGCTTAGATATTTGGCATGAAACATCTTCTAGTGAGTGTCTACCAAGTTTGTTCAAATAAAAGTCCTGGGGTCAAAATTGGCCCCGCCCCGGGGGTCATTGATTTTCCTTTTATGTGTATAGCAAAAAGTTAAAAAATCTTTTTTGAAAAAAAAACAAAACAAATAGCTGAGGTTTAGATACTAAGCATGAAACATCTTCTAGTGAGTGTCTACCAAGTTTGTTCAAATAAAAGCCCTGGGGTCAAAATTTGCCCGCCCAGGGGGTCATTGATTTTCCTTATAAATGTATAACAAAAACTTTTAAAAAATTTCTTTGAAAAAACTCAAATAGCTAGAGTTTAGATATTAAGCATGAAATATTTGCTAGTAAGTGTCTACAATGATTGTTCAAATAAAAGCCCTGGGTTCAAAACTGGCCCTACCCCAGTTGTGTCATTGTTTTTAACTATATGTGTAAAGAAAAAAATTGAAAAAATCTTCTTTTAAAAAACCCAATGAGCTAGACCTTAGATGTTTAACATAAAACATTTTCTAATGGGTGTCTACCAAGTTTGTTCAAATAAAAGCCCTGGGGCTTAAACTGGCCCCGCTCCGGGGGCCTATATGCAGGTGAGCGACTTCAGGGCCATCATGGCCCTCTTGTTTTACACATGATCACTTAACCCATTACCCAATGAGCATTTTGTGAAAAATGGCTGTTTTCATTGAAAAGTCTCCGGTTACAAGTTTAGTTAAGTTGCTATAAAACCATAAGAACTGCTTCAATAATAATCAAACTTGGCACAAATGTTGACTGGACCATTGCCTTTGTAATAACATGCTCAGTCTTAAATTTCCTGTTACCATGGCAACTAGGGGACATCTAAAAACTGCCAAAATTCACTATTTTGCGTTGATTTTTTCATAAAAATGAATTCAAAGTGACTACCCCCCCTTCAAAACCCCCAGACAGAAGGGGGCACATCCCCTTTCTGGCAACCCCCTGATGTTTGGATGGGGGATGACGCCGAAAAAGTGGTCACTTTTTTAAATAACATAATTATCTCAATTAAAAACAAGAGTTTGAGGGCCTAAATAAGGCATTTTTTCACCATTTGAGAAAGCAAAGGGAGGGGGGGGTGAAAAAGGCGTATATATCTGGTAATGAGTTAACTGTCATATTTTGTTTAGGAGTGTGTACAGGAAATGTTAAAAAAGGGATATTTTACAGGGTTGTGTATATAAATCTGTTTAACGTAAATTGTGACACAAATCACATCTTGGATATGCTTTTTCAGGTGGCTTCCAGTCTTTTGACAGAGAGGAATCGATTGTTTGGAAGACACAGTCAGACTGGAAAGAAAAAGAAAAAAACATCAAAACTGACAGGGTGGACAGGACAGTTCTTTTGTTTAGCTAGCTCCACTACTGAAAGAATACCAAATGTGAGTGAAAAAGAAGTTTTGATAACAGCAGGATTGGGGTTAAAAAAGATAAGACTGGAAAACGATGATGATGAATCAGAGGTTATGAAGAAGTTGATGTCTTCAGGCGCTGGCTTTCCCCAGCTTGCAGAAGCTGGGGGGTTTGAACTGTTAAGATCAGAACAGAATTGTAGGATCTTAAAGGTAATTGGATCACGGTGGAATTCAAAAGAACTAAAAATGTATGTTGGTGGCCAAGCAAAAATTTATATTAGGCCAGTACAGAATAACCTTTCAACACAACCGATGACTTTACCTCCTATTGAAGAGGACTATAAAACTATGTGTGATATATGTAGCTCCTCCATTCCAGTAAGGCAAATGAGAGAGCACATGCAAGAGTGTGTTGATCTTCCTGATTTGTCAGGGAGTATTGTTTTCACATATCCTAATACTTCACCTGTCAACTCACAAGTGACTCATTCAGAGACATATGGAACAGAAAACATTCTAGTGACAGGCTCTGTGCCAGCTGGTGAGAGCTCTGAAATGACTGGTAGAACTTTTCCTAATACGTCACCTGTCAACTCAGAAGTGACTCATTCAGAGCTGAATGATATAGATAACACTCTAATGACAGGCTCTGTGCCAGCAGTTGAAAGCACTGAAATGACAGTCTCAGGAGTTGTTGACAGTGTAGTCAATTTTTGTGTTAGTCATAACATTACTAATCCTGTGGAAATATTAAAGAAATTACAAAAGGACATGGTAACTGGAAGACCATTAGAAATAGAGGATGTCACTCAGTGTCTAGATGGGGCAACAAACTTTATTTTAGTTGACCGGTCCAGGCCATTAGATACAGCATTTGATGAGCTATCTAGCCTGACGCCCTCAGAGTTGAGATTAACACTAGAGGTTCAATTTTATGATGAGGTATGTATTTTTATGCCTTTGAACACAGCAAGTAAGCATACATGTGATTTGTTAATCTGGACAGTTAGAAGAATTGTTAAATTTTGTCATGGAAGTATTTCATTTCAACAGATAGAAGCTTATGCCAGTGCTAGTAAGCATGAGCAATGTAGTAATTTCCATTACTGCTCATGAACAGACTCAAGAAACCCAAGTCTGTAATTTTCACTTTTTGCTTTGTTGTCATTGCTTCCAAGGGATCACCCCTTTCCAGAATTCTTACACTTCACAACAGGCTTACAGCAGATGTACAGTGCCCTGTAATTGAAAAAAACTTGGCCAATATGTTCAGTGGTAGAAAAATAGACTAGGACTCTCACAGGTTATAATTCCCCGCCAAAAAGGCGGTTGGGGATATAGAAATAGTCTCCGTCTGTCTGTCCTTCCGTACAAACGTATAGAACTTAAATGACTATGGGAACAATAGGTAACAGTAAATTTCCTTTGATGCTATTCATTCAGTGAGCTCTTATTTGGCTACTTTTTCTTTTACCTGGCCAAAAGAACAATAGAGAGAACAAAAGAATAGCCACTTAAATACCAAACTTTGAGGATGTCCGTCTGTCCTCCTGTCCCACATTATTGTCCGGAGCATAATTTAAGAGTATTTGAGGTATCAACTTGAAACTTCATAGATGGATAGATCATACTGAGGAGCAGTGCAGTGCACAAGTATGATAACTCTACCCTGCATATATTTGCAGCTATTGCCCTTTGTTATTTTTCAATCTTAATTTTTGTCAAAAGCATAACTCAAAAAGCCTTTGAGATATCAACATGAAACTTCATAGGTGGATAGATCTCACTCGCGAGGTGTGCAGTGCATGAGAGTGATAACTCTATCCTTCATAATTTTTTAGTTATTGCCATTTGTTATTTTTGATACTTCAGGAGCTTATCTCAAAAAGTGTTAGAGGTATCAACTTGAAACTTAATATGTGGATGGATCTCATTGAGGAGTGCAGCACACAAGGATGATAACCTACCCTGGATTATTTTTCAGTTATTGTCCTTTGGTATTTTTAGCCATCAGTATTCACATAGGTTTCAAATCTGTAATCACTTCAGCCATCAGTTTTCATTACCAAGAGACCTCTTAAAATTAATTATTCTGCTCTACAGCATATATATCTTCCAATGAGCAAACACATTCTGCAGGGGGATGGCCATGTTTACATGGCTCTTGTTTAATTTTGACCAGCTTTGTTCAAAAGTTATTGCCCTTGTATGACAAGCTGGTATTATATTAAGTCCAATATCTTAAGAAAGAATAATTGAGGTACATGTATTGTGTTCAAACATAGTACAAATATTCGGTAGCAAAAGGGCAAGAAGAAGGATTTTGTAATCATTAATGAGCTGGTACTACTCAAAATCTTGTTGCTTTCTGACATTTTTGTGTCGCCTCTACACAGGGATCACTTCTCTGTCGTCTGTATGTCCGTCCGTCACAAAACTTGTCTGGATTACTCCTCAGAAACTACTGGTGCAATTACTCAAAACTTTACTGGAATAATCTGTACCAAGTTTAGTCATGATTTTTAGTTTTAAAGTTTACCGGACTTACCTATCTTATACCACGGAAGCAATTTCAATGAATCTTTACAGGATTGATCTGTAGCTCTAATACTTGTGCATATTACCCAGGATATACAATTGAATGATTTTTGGTCAAGTTGTGGCACTTGAATAAAAAACATGTTTTTTTTGTGTTGCCAGCTTCACAGAATCTTGTCCAAACTACTTCGTAGAAACTACATGTGCAATTTTTATTCAAACTTTATAGGAATGAATGGTACCAAGTTTAGTTGTGCATATCATTGTTTTTTTTGGGTTTTTTGGGGGCTCATTAACATTTTTCGATTTAGTGATTATTCTCAGAGTAATGTCCATTAATGATTTTGATTTTTAAAAAAATTTGTCCGGACTACACCTCTTATACCACAAATGCAATTTTAATGAAGTAAACATACCTCTTATCACACTATTTTAACTGCTTAATTAATATCCACAAATGATTTCACTTTTGAAGTCCGAAGTAAAAACAAACATCAATTATACGTCTTGGCCGTAGATGCTAATGCCTCGTTTTGACCACTGGCTGCTGATAGCTGCGTCTTCTCTCTGTGGGGCCCATTAATGAGTTTATATGAAGGATAAAATGAAACTTTACAGGATTGATCGGTAGCTTAAGTACTTTCACATATTACTCGGATTTTCAAATTGAAGGATTTTCACCTATGTTATGGGCCTTGAATAAAAACTGTGTTTTGCTCCATTAATGATTTTTGGGTCTCCTGCTACACAGTAGCTGCAACATGCAATTGGCTATAATGAGAAGACACATGTCATCACTGATGACCCTTGTTGTCTACTGAGCCACTTTTCCATTTCATTATTCTTTGGATTGAAGCTCTTAAATGAGTCTTAACTCTGGCTTATGATTTGACAGTTTTGGCTCACTTTGTCTTTTCAGCATGTTTATTTTTCAAGTTTCTTTTTTAGCTCACCTGTCACAAAGTGACAGGGTGAGCTTTTGTGATCGCTTTTCGTCCAGCGTCCGTCCGGCGTCCGTCCGTCGGTAAACTTTTACTTTAAATGACATCTCCTTATAAACCACTAAGCCAATTTCATCCAAACTTCACAGGAATGTTCCTTTGGTGGTCACCTTTAAAAAAATTTCAAAGAATTTAATTCCATGCAGAACTCTGGTTGCCATGGCAACCAAAAGAAAAAACTGTAAATATCTTCTTTTAAAAAAACCATAAGAGCTAGAGCTTAGATATTTGGCATGAAACATCTTCTAGTGAGTGTCTACCAAGTTTGTTCAAATAAAAGCCCTGGGGTCAAAATTGGCCCCGCCCCTGGGGGTCATTGATTTTCCCTTTATGCATATAGTAAAAAACTTAAAAACTTTTTTTTAAAGAACCCAAAGAGCTAGAGCTAAGATATTTAGCATGAAACATCTTCTAATGAGTGTCTACCAAGTTTGTTCAAATAAAAGCCCCGGGGTCAAAATTGGCCCCGCCCCAGGGGGTCATTGATTTTCCCTATATGCATAAAGTAAAAACTTAAAAAATCTTCTTTTAAAGAACTCAAAGAGGTAGAGTTAAGATATTTAGCATGAAACATGTTCTAATGGGTGTCTATCAAGTATGTTCAAATAAAAGCCCTGGGGTCAAAATTGGCCCCGCCCCGGGGGGTCATTGATTTTCCTTATATGTGTATAGCAAAAACTTAAAAATCTTCTTTGAAAAACCCAAATAGCTAGAGTTTAGATATTAAGCATGAAACATCTTCTAGTAAGTGTCTACAAAGTTTGTTCAAATAAAAGCCCTGGGGTTAAAACTGGCCCCGCCCCAGGGGTGTCATTTATTAACTAAATGTGTATAGTAAAAACTTAAAAATCTTCTTTTAAGAAACCCAATGAGCTAGAGCTTAAAGCTGGAGCTTAGATGTTTAGCATGAAACATCTTCTTATGGGTGTCTACCAAGTTTGTTCAAATAAAAGCCCTTGGGTTAAAATTGGCCCTGCTGGGGGACAGGTGGGGGGGGCGCTATATACAGGTGAGCGACTTCAGGGCCATCATGGCCCTCTTGTTTTTATCCTGAAGTTGTTTCTCCCATTCAATTGTATGGTGAGGAAATTTTGAACGAAAGAAATGCAAAGTAATGTTTGTTTCTACTTTAAGAATGCAGAAGATTATGGTGGTCCAAGGAAGGAATTTTTTTGGTTAGCTTTGAATGCCATAAAAGAGAAGTATTTTAGTCATGGTTTGCGAGATTTACTTGCAGATGATTATGTAGCAGTGGGCACTGTATTTGGTAAGTAACATTCTCTGAAACTGGCCCTGCTGGGGGACAGGTGGGGGGGGCGCTATATACAGGTGAGCGACTTCAGGGCCATCATGGCCCTCTTGTTTTTATCCTGAAGTTGTTTCTCCCATTCAATTGTATGGTGAGGAAATTTTGAACGAAAGAAATGCAAAGTAATGTTTGTTTCTACTTTAAGAATGCAGAAGATTATGGTGGTCCAAGGAAGGAATTTTTTTGGTTAGCTTTGAATGCCATAAAAGAGAAGTATTTTAGTCATGGTTTGCGAGATTTACTTGCAGATGATTATGTAGCAGTGGGCACTGTATTTGGTAAGTAACATTCTCTGAAACTAACCACCTTGAAAAGTTAACCCTTTAAATGTTGGAAATGAAATCAAAGTTTTTGCCACCAGTGTAGAGCCAAACAGCTTGCATTTAGCACATTACCTTATAATCCAGTCTTGCCAGGTTATACACTGTTGGCCATCTCAATATGTATATGGTTACATCCCATAATTTATAACAAAGAACTCCTCAATATTCAAAGCTTTTCTGCATAAATGTATAAAAAGTGGAATATTACAGTAAAACTGTCATAAACTAGGAAGACCTGTGGTTAATTTAAAAGGTGAAAAGAGCCTCCAAAACAAGATTTATAGATTTGTACCTGATTGATGAATCTGAGGCAGTTCCGCGTCAGTTTGAGCCCCAGTCTGGCCACCCAACTTTCATAAAATCCTTTCTACCACCATTCAAGTAGGGCACTTTGTTAATGGCGAAAGTATATGCACTAAGTCCTGGTTAACTAAGTTGGATAAGGCTGTCCAGAAAAAGTGTGAGTAGCTTAACTGACCACAGTTATATGACTGAAATAGTGTTGATAACAGGGAAAAACCCAATCAAGATAAAAAACTTTTGAAATTATTCTTTTCATTTTTAGCTCACCTGAGCATGCTCAGGGTGAGCTTTAAGGATCGATGATTGTCCGTCGTCCGTCGTCCGTTCACATTTAGTTGTTAACACTCTAGCGGTCGCATTTTTGCCTCAATCATCATCAAACTTGGTCAGGAGGCTTATCTAGTTGATAGCTGGGATGAGTATGAACATGGGTCATCTCGGATGAGAAACTAGGTCACAAGAGCTAAAAATAGAAAAACCTTGTTAACACTAGATGTCACATTTTTGCCTCAATCATCATCAAACTTGGTCAGGATGTTTGTCTAGGTGATAGCTCGGATTAGTTCGAACATGGGTCATTTCGGATGAAAAACTAGGTCACAGGAGCTAAAAATAGAAAAACCTTGTTAAAACTCTAGTGGTCACAATTTTGACTCAATTGTCATCAAACTTGGTCAGGAAACTTGTTTAGGTCATTGCTGGGAATAAATCGAACATGGGTCATCTCGGATGAAAAACTAGGTCACAGGAGCTAAAAATAGAAAAATCTTGTTAACACTCTAGTGGCTACTGTTGTGATCCAAATATTCTGTTAATTGGTCTGAAAGTATGTTTTGATGATTTCTAAGTCAAGATCGAACATGGGTCATCTTGGATGAAAAACTAGGTCACATCGCCCAAATATGGGAAAACCTTGTTAACATTCTAGTGGTCACATTTTCGACTCAATTATCATCAAACTTGGTCAGGATGCTTGTCTAGGTAATTGCTTGGATGAGTTCGAAATTGCATGTGAAAGTAGGTCACCGGAGCTAAAAATAGAAAATCTTGTTAACACTCTAGTTGCTACTGTTTTGATCCAAGTATCCTGGAAATTGGTCTGAAAGTTTGTTTTGATGATTTCTAGGTCAAGTTTGAATATGTGTCACCTGGGTAAAAAACTAGGTCGCACTGCTAAAATATGGATAATCCTTGTTAACATTGTAGTGGTCACATTTTTCACTCACCTGTCATGAGACTTGGTCAGAATGCTTGTCTAGGTAATTGTTTGAATGAGTTTGATAAGTCAGGTGAGCGATCTAGGGCCATCATGGCCCTCTTGTTTTTGAAACCCCCCTCAGCTGAAATATGGACATTTTTGGAAATTGACCCATTTATTGCTATTTAAAGCTCAGTAAGTTCAGGAACACTGTATGTTTATGTGTGATAAAACCTTTTTAGCTCGACTATTCGAAGAATATGAGAGCTATTGTAGTCACCCTGGTGTCAGCGTCTGCGTTGGTTAAAGTTTTTTGTAAAGTCAAATATCTCAATTATTGCTTGAGATATTCAATTGAAATTTACAATACTTATGTATAGTAACAATGTACATCACATTGACAAGTTGGATAACTCTGCCTACAATATTTACAGAATTATGCCCCTTTTTAACTTTGAAATTTTGGTTAAAGTTTTTTGTAAAGTCAAATGTCTCAATTATTGCATGAGATATTCAATTGAAATTTACAATACTTATTTATAGTAGCAATGTACATCACATTGACAAGTTTGATAACTCTGCCTACAATATTTACAGAATAATGCCCCTTTTTAACTTAGAAATTTTGGTTAAAGTTTTTTGTAAAGTCAAATGTCTCAATTATTGCTTGAGATATTCAATTGAAACTTACAATACTTATTTATAGTTACATTGTACATCAGTTTGCAAAGTTGCATAACTCTGCCTGCAATATTTGCAGAATAATTTGCCCCTTTGAAACTTAGAAATTTTGGTTAAAGGTTAAAGGTCTTCAAAGATATTTACTTGAAACTTTACACATGTACTTAGGGTCATAATTGAAGGTCACATCTCAAGATTCATAACTCTGCCATGTATTTTGACTGAATTATGCTCCCTTTTGTACTTAAAAATTCTCCTTTTCTTGGTTAAGTTTAACATGCAAGTTTTGCATATCTCTGAAACTATTAAAGATACAAATTTGAAACTTCATATGTATATTTGTGGTCATAAATAATGATCACCGAACAGCACTCATATCTGTGTCATGTATTTAGGCTGATTTATCTCCCCCTTTTTTACTTAGTCTATTGGTTAATGTTTACATAATCTCAATTACTATCAATGATTTTGATTTGAAACTTCACATATGCTTGAAAGGTCATAATTGTAAGTCACTGACCAAGTACCATAACTCTATCTTGCATTTAGGCTGATTTATCTCCCCTTTTCTTCTTAGTCTCTTGGTTAATGTTTACTTGCATGTTTTACATATCTCAATTATTATTAAAGGTATTTATTTAAAACTTCACATATGCATTAAGGGTCATAATTGTAGGTCACTGACCAAGATCCATAATTCTATTTTGCATTTAGGCTGATTTTTTGTTACCCTTTTTCAACTAAGAAATTCATGGTAAAGTTTTGCTTGTAAGCTGATATCTTGGGACAATTTTATACATTCATAATAATAAAGCAGTAAATTTCTTGATTAAACATCTTAATAACAAGCCTTTGTACCTTTTCGGTCAATTTTATGTATTCATAGGTAAGCATTATTATACTCAATAAAACATCCTTGGGACAACTTTTTGGAATAAAGCCTTACTGTCCCCCGACAGTTCTTGTTTTACCATAATGTAATACATAATTATACATAATTGATTGTTTTTTCATATTTTTGTTTTCCTAACTGCGTCCAGTATTTTATTAGTCGATCTTCGCTGTCTCATGTGACAGCTCTTGTTTCTATTGTTATGGATGTTTTAAGATTCGTCATTGAAGATTGGTTAATAACTGTTTCATCTTAAGTGTATAAAGTGTTTTTTTAAATATATGACTTAATGACCTAACTTATCTGCTCAGGTGAGCGAAACATTAAAGCTGTTGCATTTTATTTCAGCTCTCAGTATCCTTCAGAATGGTGCATTTCCCAACTTCATGGATGAAAATGTTCTCCAAGAACTATGGCATAGTGAAACACCTTCTCCAAGTATCATTAAGCTGAGACAAGGGCTTAACACTCTAGGAATCATGGAGGTAATTTTTATTCTCTTACTTCTTATAGATATGGTATATGATTGTCTTGCCAATGGGATTTGGCCTTTTTATTGTCCATTGCTTATCAATCTCTTAGAATAATTTCGACTGTGTATGTATTTTTGATAAGCTTGAAACAAAAGCATGTACCAAGCAAGATAAATAGCAAGGCTAGGGAAAGTTTGAAGACAAAAGTGTGATTTCATCAAAAAAGGCCAAGGATCAAGTCTTTATATAAATGAAAGAAAGCTTGTGCAGATTTCCACATGCTGTTTTAATAATAGAAAAATAGACTTCAACAACATTGTGTATACCCATTACTATCCAAACAATTAACATTAATTTTTTGTTTAACAGATTGTGAAATGGTTGCCATCCATGGAGTTTCTGTTTCACCCAAGTATTGTGCCACTGACAGTGAAGAAACTAACAACCATTTTGAAGCCTGTATTTAGTGAGAATGGCTCAAACAATGCTGTCTTAGAAAAGGAAGTGTATGGAAAATTCATTAAGTACATGAGGGAAGTGGCAAGTGGTAGGCGACTAGGGATGACACTCAACAGTATGCTTAGATTTGTGACAGGTGCGGAGGATGAGCCAGTTTTAGGATTTCAGCTTCAGCCATCTATATATTTCACAGAAAAAGAGTCTTTCATTCCTACTGCACAAACATGTATTAACAGACTTATACTGCCAAGACCATCAGTTTCCATGGAACTGCCAGAGGATGACAAACTATTTCAGTTTTATGATCTTGCATTTGCTAACGAGTTTTTCGGGTTGAAGTAATTTTTAATCAGATGTAAGGGTGACAGAGGCACAAGGCAAAGAGCTTTAATGTTTCCATGTAGCTTTATACCATGGACATGTGCAAAGTTTGTTTTGAAACTGCTATGGTAAATTGGCCACTGCCTGGGGTTTCCATTTTGAACTTAAACTGTTGTACAGCAGCTGTATATAAAAGTCTTAGGCACAGATCTTTGAGATTGTGCATGTAGCATTGGGACTTATTCCAAATTTGTTAAAATCATGATCCTTGAAATAATATTGGTCCCACCCAAGTAGTCACATGGATAACATAAATGATAATTATATTGTGCTGTTGATTACTATTCCTGGATTGTGGATCAATAACCATAAATGCTTTGATTGCTTATTTGCCTATTTTATAGCAATACAGGGCCATCATTGCCCTCTTGTTTTGTAGCTCACCTGTCACAAAGTGACATGGTGAGCTTTTGTGATCGCTTTTCGTCCATGGTCAGTCCGTAAACTTTTACTTTTAACGACATCTCCTTATAAACCGCTAAGCAAAATTCATCCAAAGGAATGTTCCTTTGGTAGTCAACTTTAAAAATTGATCAAAGAATTTAATGCCATGGCAACAACAATAAACTTAAAAAAATCTTATTTTAAAAAACCTAAAGAGCTAGAGCTTCGATAGAAAGCATGAAACATCTTCTAGCGGGTGTCTACCAAGTTTATACAAATAAAAGCCCGGGGGTCAAAATTGGCCCTGCCCTAAGGGCCATTGTTTTTCCCTTTATGTATATAGTAAAAACTTAAAAAATTCTCTTTTCATAAAACCTAAGACCTAGAGCTTAGATATTTATCATGAAACATCTTCTAATAGGTGGCTACCATGTTTGAACAAATAAAAGCCCCTGGGTTTGAATTGGCCCCACCCCGGGGGGCCTTTATACAGATTATGACATTAATCAGGCTGTCCAGCGTCCCTAAAATTCCTAAAAAATTCTACTTTTTTTCAGTTTGGCTAAAATTCCTAAAAAAATGAAAAATTCAAAGGGAATTCCTAAAAAAGCCCTATTTTTTCACTTAAATTCCTATTTTTTTTATCTTTGTGATAAACATATTGCGAAACAACCATATTTCAATCATAACCTAATTTCGAACACAGTCTGACTAAATTGCATAATGTCACATGTTGTATTTACTTCAACTCCTGCAGAAATGCCATACTTGATTAATTGTCAGATGTTTAGTGTTATCAGAAAAAATAATAAGAAACTGTTTGTTTTAAATGGTCCAACTTTGACTATATCAAAAGAGTCACCTGTTTAAAATTGTGATACAAAAATTTCCATGGAAGTTACATTTTTATTGGCTACAGAGTTTTACCTCAGTCTAAGGTGTATTTAAAGCAACTATTTACATGATGAACCACTAAATTGCATCAAACTTTATTTAGGGGTCCTTATTAATAAAATCTTAATTTGTAATCAAGTTATTTTCAAGTGATGACTGTAGAACAGATCTTTTGTAAGTGATACCAGCTGGCAGATGTAGACAAGTTTCCATAATAGCTAATTATAATGTGAGTAGGGTAAACTGGCAGTAATGATTTGATGCCTTAACCATTTTGCTACCCAATAAGCGTACTAGTCTTAAGAAGTGACACCTTCAGCTGCCCTTTTTGTACACATTAACATGTACTGAACATATGTTCTAACATATTGTGTAAGTTTTTTACAATTTGGAAAAAAACTGTTGAAAATCATTGAAAAAACTGACACTGTTGTGAAATTTTCTACAATTTTTAGTAGCCTGATTAATCTTGAACAAATTCTTTATAGGTGTATACCCTGGTGTTTGAATTTAAGTTTAATTATTCCTTGAAATGACTTGAGTGGGTCATATCGTTTTTACTGTCTTTTAAGAAAGATCAAGACTGGTTGAAAATCTACCAACCTTAAAATGAATAAATTTTGATAAGAAATGCATTTATAGCTAAAATAAATCTAAAGCATAATTTCCCCAGGGCCCTTCCATTTATTATTGGCTAATCAAAGCTTAGCTAATTGAATATTGGTTGTTCCGGGATTCTTATAACTTTGAAAATATTTTCATTGTAGTTATGTTTTAATGTAATTTTTCAGCTCTTTTTAAAGGCAGTTGACCAGTGAATCCATTATTTCACTGGTGACTATGGAACACTGGTAACACCTTTGCTATAACCAAACTAGAGCATTATTTGTGAGTTACTTTTGTGTTAAATATGCAAAGTTGAGCCCATATCATGGTCTTTTGAGGCCATTATTTAGTTATAAAATTCCAAATTTTAGCCCTAAAATTTCTTATATTTACCCTAAAATTCCTAATTTTAGCCCTAAAATTTCTTAAGAATTGCCCTAAAATTTGCCCTAATTTTTTGTCAGAAGGTGCTGGACAGCCTGCATTAATGTAACTGTAAATAGCATGATTTTTGTGATTTCTCTTTGAAAACTGTCTCTGAGATTTGAGATAAGCAATAACTTAAATTAAAAAAAATGTGTTACTGTTATTAGTATATTTTGTTTTGTGTTTTATTTTTGTTTGTTTGTTAAAGGTTTAAGCCAACCATTGTTTAATGTGCATGATATAAGCTATATAGAGGCTCAATGTGAACATTGTAAGAAATTTCATTTAGCTTGATTGATAAAGGATGAACAGCTGTTATGTCCCTCAACCTTATCATGCAACTTAAGATTACACACAGCCTTGCTTTATAAAAAGTTTGTTTTTTTTTTTAAACTTAAATTTTCAGTTAAATTTAAAGGGACTGTTTCCCTTTTTAAACCCTTTTCATGCCCATTAGAAAAAATTTTTGAGGAAAAAGGGAAATATCTTACTTTTTCATCCTGACTTTGGGTTTAAATTTTCAAATTTTTTCCACTTTCTTTCAGAGAAAATTGACAGGGAAAACAAATTTCCCCATAACTCAAAATTTTAAATTTTTTTGGCTAAAAGAAGGAAATAATCAAAAAACCCTGTTCGAAAAAGTTTGCATTTTTTAATTTATTTTTGGTTGAAATTTTTATAGTTTTATATCTCATTCATTATTCAAGATATTGACATGAAACTTAAGGTATGTTTTACTTTCAATACCTACACTAAGGTAAGAAACCTAGTCACTGTTTGACATAAGTCTATATAGATAAGACAAAATTATGCCCCTTTTTAAGTTAGATTATTTTTTTTTTAAGTTTTACCTGCATATAAAGAAATATGGTTTTTAGCTCACATGAGCACAGTGTGCTCAGGATGGGCTATTTTGATCTCCCAATATCCGTTGTCCATCGTCCAAATTTGCTTCAAACAACATGGATTTTCATGAAACTCAGTAAAAATGATATGCACATTACCATCTTTGCTTTGATTGGAGTTAAGGCCTTTGGATTAATCCCTATATTCCATATATATATATATATATATATATATAGCATAAACAATGTAACATGAAACTCTTTTTGTGCAGATTCTGGCTAACTATTTATGGGAATTCAATGAGGATTTAACCTTCTGAATCAAGAGTAGATGCACACCTGTAAACTTAAGAGGTCAGAGGTCCCAAACAGAGTTCTTTTTGTGTCTACTCTTTATCTTCCTACTCTTTGAAAATGGCCTGCAGTGTTAAAATAACATTTTCAGCTTGCATGTAAATTCACCAAAATTTACTTGATGCTTTACTTTTTAATGTAAATGTACATCTATTTGAATTTATTTTCTTAATAAGGAAGGTCATTTTGTAATGTATGTGACATCACTGTCTTGGGAATCACTGAAATGTCGGACCTGACATTAAATGAATGCATTAATCTTAATCAATTTTATTTCTTCAATTGCTCAACTAACTGTTGTAATTAATTTCTGTGAGATTTTTTCTATTGATGGAACAATGATCTGAAAACATAACCCTGTTTTGTTGTTTTTAAAATCCTGCTATCTCATATTCTGTTAATGTGTGTTAATGTTTGTTTATTCGTGGGCATAATTTTCTTACTTTTATTCTTGTATTGCTAATTATACCCCCGCACAACAAAGTTGTAAGGGGGGTATACTGGAATCAGCTTGTCCGTCCGTCCGGCTGTCCGTCCGTCCGGCCGTCCGTCGGTTTTTTCTTGTCCGCCCAATAACTTAAGATTCCTCTGACCCTTAGTCTTCATATTTGGCATGGAGGTTAGTCATGATTAGTAGATGACCCCTATTGATTTTGAGGTCACTAGGTCAAAGGTCAAGGTCACAGGGGCCTTGACTTCAAAAAGCTTGTCCGCCCAATAACTTAAGATTCCTTTGACCTACAGTCGTCATATTTGGCATGGAGATTAGTCATGATAAGTAGATGACCCCTATTGATTTTGAGGTCACTAGGTCAAAGGTCAAGGTCACAGGGGCCTTGACTTCAAAAAGCTTGTCCGCCCAATAACTTAAGATTCCTTTGACCTACAGTCGTCATATTTGGCATGGAGGTTAGTCATGATTAGTAGATGACCCCTATTGATTTTGAGGTCACTAGGTCAAAGGTCAAGGTCACAGGGGCCTTGACTTCAAAAAGCTTGTCCGCCCAAAACTTAAGATTCCTTTGACCTACAGTCGTCATATTTGGCATGGAGGTTAGTCATGATTAGTAGATGACCCCTATTGATTTTGAGGTCACCAGGTCAAAGGTCAAGGTCACAGGGGCCTTGACTTCAAAAAGCTTGTCCGCCCAATAACTTAAGATTCCTTTGACCTACAGTCGTTCATATTTGGCATGGAGGTTAGTCATGATTAGTAGATGACCCCTATTGATTTTGAGGTCACTAGGTCAAAGGTCAAGGTCACAGGGGCCTTGACTTCAAAAAGCTTGTCCGCCCAAAACTTAAGATTCCTTTGACCTACAGTCGTCATATTTGGCATGGAGGTTAGTCATGATTAGTAGATGACCCCTATTGATTTTGAGGTCACTAGGTCAAAGGTCAAGGTCACAGGGGCCTTGACTTCAAAAAGCTTGTCCGCCCAATAACTTAAGATTCCTTTGACCCACAGTCGTCATATTTGGCATGGAGGTTAGTCATGATTAGTAGATGACCCCTATTGATTTTGAGGTCACTAGGTCAAAGGTCAAGGTCACAGGGGCCTTGACTTCAAAAAGCTTGTCCGCCCAATAACTTAAGATTCCTTTGACCCACAGTCGTCATATTTGGCATGGAGGTTAGTCATGATTAGTAGATGACCCCTATTGATTTTGAGGTCACCAGGTCAAAGGTCAAGGTCACAGGGGCCTTGACTTCAAAAAGCTTGTCCGCCCAATAACTTAAGATTCCTTTGACCCACAGTCGTCATATTTGGCATGGAGGTTAGTCATGATTAGTAGATGACCCCTATTGACTTTGAGGTCACCAGGTCAAAGGTCAAGGTCACAGGGGTCTTGACTTCAAAAAGCTTGTCCGCCCTATAACTTAAGATTCCTTTGACCCACAGTCTTCATATTTGGCATTGAGGTTAGTCGTGATTAGTAGATGACCCCTATTGACTTTGAGGTCACCAGGTCAAAGGTCAAGGTCACAGGGGCCTTTACTTCAAAAAGCTTGTCCGCCCTATAACTTAAGATTCCTATGACCCACAGTCTTCATATTTGGAATGGAGGTTAGTCATGATTAGTAGATGACCCCTATTGATTTTGTGGTCACCAGGTCAAAGGTCAAGGTCACAGGGGCCTTGACTTCAAAAAGCTTGTCCGCCCAATAACTTAAGATTCCTATGACCCACAGTCTTCATATTTGGAATGGAGGTTAGTCATGATTAGTAGATGACCCCTTTTGATTTTGAGGTCACTGGATCAAAGGTCAAGGTCATAGGGACTTTGACTTCAAAAAGTTTGTCCACCCATTAACTTAAGATTCCTTTGACCCACAGTCTTCAAATTTGGCATGGATGTTGATCATGACTATAAGGTGACCCCTATTGATTTTGAGGTCACTGGGTCAAAGTTCAAGGTCACAGGGACCTTGACAAAAAAAAAAGCTTTTCTTCTCAATTGCTAAAGAATGTCCTGTCTGCAATGTATTGATTTTGACATTTTCACATTTGAAGCATGTAGAATACATAACTTAGCAATGCACTGGCTTAGTAACCTCAGATTTGGCAGGGAGGTTGTCCTTGCGCTCTAAATGGCCACTGTTGATTCTGACAAAGTGGTATGCGGGGGTATTCACGCCAAGATAGTGGCAGTTCTAGTTTATTGCATGGTGTGGCTCTTTTCAACCTAGTATATTCAGTAACACTGTTGTTTGTGACATCACAAACTGTCCTGATATATACTGGGGAAGTTTTCGCCCATTGACTGAGATTGTAAAACCTGTCTGGACAGAAAAACTGTCACAATATATATTAATTCAAACTTTTTTACACACACCCAAAATTCAATTCAGACCAAAGAAATTATTGTTAAGTGTGACATTGCAAAAAAGGCAAGGCTGGTGGGAGTCATTGTTTTTACATTATTTTAAAATTTCAACAGATACTTGCACCAAAAGGTTATGAAAGAAACAGTTATTAGTTATTAGAGACTTTATTGTTTAATTGACAATTTCTCAATGTCTGTAACATTTCAATGCCGGGTGAACGCACAATCCATATCAAAATCATTCAACGCAAAATGCTGACAAGGAAAAGACTTGTCAAAGCATTTGGAATATTAAAACTAGAAGTAAGGACAACTTCTTTGTATCTTTTCTGATTGCTTTACATGACTCGTTTTTGTACAAAATACAGGTTGAAAAAGTGTTTGCAGTATCAGAATTTTGAGGATGCGCCCGCATAGTATGGCCCCTTTTATAACTTGAGAACCATTTATTCCAGAACCTTCAAACTTCATACACTTATGGGCCTTGATGAGTAGAATTCGTCTATTAAAGGTCAAAGTCACTGTGGACTGAATTTTAAAATGACTTCACTTCATAACTTGAATACCATTTATATCACTGTCTCCAAATTTCATACACTTATTGATCTTGTTTACTAGATGACCTCTAATTATTAAGGGGTCAAAGGTCAAGGTTACTGGCGCTTAAATATTAAACCATTTTCATTTTATAACTTGGTCAATTTCAATTTGGATCGTCCAACTGTCACTGCTGTATCTCCAAAAACAAGAAAGTAGGTCAGTAGGTCAAGTTTAAGTCAACTGACCCCTAAATTAATAGGTGTCATGTACTTATCATGACTAATATTTGAAGAATATGTCTAGTTTTACAATCTGATAGAGATTGGTGACCTTTAGTGACCTACTTTTTGTTTTCGAAGCTACACCAGATATGCATTTTTTGCATACCAATGTCATCTGTTACTAAAGGGGCACATATTGACATTGTATTTGACCTACTGACCTATTTTTTTGTTTTTTGAAAATACGGCAATGATATCTGGACCAAATTAACAGGTTGACAAAGCAATTAAAATGGTGCACTTTGATGACCTTGAAAGTGACCTTTATTGAAATTTGGACCACATAGACCTGTTTGCATACAAGTGTTGTTGCTGACTTGGTTTGACCTAGCCTTTTGCTAAAGTTATGTTTACCCTCCTCCATAAGGGGACTTTGTTATTCATGGCAATACACCCTTAACTTGTTTAAATACTTCTTAAAGAAACCGGATAAAGTGATAATGTTACTTAATGTAGTTCCATATTAGGTAAACTTAGACCATCTGAACTGTTTACCAGTACCCGATGCTAAATTACGCAAGTATCTGACAACTCTCTTTAATGAAGATGATTTTGGCTTATCTCGCCTTTGACAACGCAACGCAATGGATTAAAACCATGCATGCAGGAATCTACAGTTTTAAAGTTTCCAATAATTAAAGCCCGTTTAGTCATCTTGTACAATACACTAGAGACGATTGTAACTTAGCAAAGTTAGCAAGCTTGAAAGTTTAAACAAGAAAAATGGCACACTTAATCCGAAGTATTTTCAAAGTGAAACCGCCCATGAAGATGAAGGGCGTCCGCGCCAATAAATTGAGCACAATCTATAAAGCATGGGTATTGATTGGATACCTTGCTTTTGGGTTTACAATATGATAATCAGAAGTTTGATTGAGTCTGATCATGAGCACTAGTTGAAATTGGTACACTGCTCCCGCACTCTAGTTACGGCTTAAGAAGTATTAAATTTTCAAAACAAAAATTGAATAATACCGAAGGACCAGGAAATACAACAAAACCATGCGATAAAACAGTTATAGGATGTGGTGTTCGTCCCCTACAGGTATATATTAGGTATATATTTCTGGTTTTCGAATTAATTTCGGCCTCGCGGCATTGACAGAGGAGCCCAATGCCCTAATATACACCAGTAACAGCCTCGTACCCATCCTATAGCTTTTACAAATAGGCAGAAATGCTATTCATTTTAAAAAGATTATGTTGTAACAAATCGTAACAGATTCAGCATCCATCTAGTTTTATATTTATCATTTATAGCATTTATACAACTCTTACATTACACATTTCATATTTAGTCATCAGAAAGCTGTAAAATTGAGACTGCATTTTGGTAAATTTCGATCCCATAGTTAATGCCGGTCCAGTTGTGTGGACAATGTAACTCAAGCTGTTGCTTGCAGTAATCACTGATATGAATCTCGGGGCTGGTGAAAACTGGACGACTGTCACCGACATAGACGCTATTTTCGTCTTCATCTTCATCAGAAGTAAAATCTGCGCTCTCGGGTATAGGAATCGGATTATTGGCTATGCCAGCTGTCCAAAGTCTTAGTGGTGAAGATCTCGCAGTTCGCAGTCTGTGTGTACTCCAAGCTTCGCACCATGAGGCGAGGCATACGTTTATCCTTTGCAAGTAAACAAAATGCAGAGCAAAGATATGTAGGGGATCCATTATATCTAAAATCCCTTCGTCCTCCATGAAAGAAAATAATTCTGAGTAAAATCCTAAAACACCATCATACACATCTCTCCAAAGTCTTTCAATCCGTTGATTATGAACGCTTTTGCCGGCTAACACACTTCCAATGCCCCTCTGTCGAAGTATGAAATCTGCAATTTTAACATTTTCCATCCCCTTGTCTGTTCGGATTCGCAGAGGTGTGCCAAACTTTTGTACCGCCTCTCTAAATATTTGTAATAAGGAATCCGATTTGTTATTAGTTAAGGCCTTGATATACATTATCATTCTACTGAATCCGTCGATACCACCGGCAATGACAATGTTCCATCGAATTAACTTGTGGTTTGTGTCCAGGTGCCACACACAATTTGGGCCTTTAACTTGATAAACGCGTCGGTGAAGGCGTCTGCGTGTTCTATAACGTATCCCATTTTTATCATGTTCTTGCAAAACATCTCGAAGACGCGATCTTGGTATCTGCAATGTACAATTTTTTTTAAATCTCATTTAAAGGGATATAATGGGCATATTTCACATATTTTAATGCGTACTACCGCTATAAAAACTGGATTTTTTTAACAATCATGTGATACTGCTTTACTTTTAGATATACATGTAGAAGGAGTCCTTTATGAACACCTAATTTCTACATTTAGTCAAGTTAAATACAATCAAATCTAAAGTACATGTGAAACATAATATATTTAGTGTACTTGTAACAGGCATATTGAAGGCCACGAGAGGTACCTATATCTGTTTAAATATGTATCGTCAATCCCTGATATCTTGTTTCAATTTTGAGCTAATAAGTAAAATAAATACCTTTACTTTGTTTTACTCGGACCAGGAAGCATTTTGGAAAGTTTACATTTCTGTCGCGAAAAAAACAAAGGGCATTAAAACTATGGTCAACTAGCTGTGTCAAACTCAGGGCCAGTTTGTTGCATACAAGCCGATTTCGGTTTGAAACGTCACAGCAGTATGAATTTTCATGAGATTTTACTGTAGCAAATGTGACAAGGAAAGTCTTTCTTACAAGATACATGACCCCTAGTTTTCTTATCATTTAAATCAGTTTTATCATAACTCTAATGATTTATTCTCTAAAATGGGTCTAGTCTTTGAAAAATGAGAGTTTAGGGACTACTAGTTATCGGTATATGACAAACAGTTAGGGAAGGAATTAAAATGGCGGCACAGCGCCTTGCACCTGGAACTTTCTCGCAAAGCGTTGTGACAGAAACAGCACAATCAAATAAATTTAAAAGATTTTTTAAAGTGACACAGTAACAAATTTGCAAAGGAAACTATTTCTTCATCTGCGCAAGGATTTATATGTGCAGAATGATCGTAAAGTGTCCCAAGTCTCGCGTACATTATCACTCGGCCTTTTGTCTTAATCTTGTTGTGTCTCTCTTCTAAATATCTGTTTTTTACATTTTACATATTTTAAAGTAGTTTTCATCTTGCAGTAGGGAGTGCAATACTCTACAAAACAAGACCTCATCGATGCATTTTTGTCTAATAATAAAAGTTTTAGTGAAAGGCAAATTCTGTCAGCAAACTCTTAGTTTGCTGAAATTCATCATTCGAAGGGAGGTTGCCATCATTTAAATGAAAAAAAAAAGAAAAAAGAAATCAATTTCTAAAAAATATAGCTGTTTTACAGTGAAAGAATGTTTTTCTTACAAGGAAAACAAGTTTCAGCCAAATATCTTCAAACACTAAAAAGAGGTGAAGTAGTCCGCATGTAATGGCCATTGAATGCTTAAATATCTGCAAGTTTCCAATCTCTGTTTATTATACAACTTTGAACTGCGCCAATGAGTTCACCAATAGCCGTTGCCATGGTTTCAAGGCCATGTTTTCGTGAAACCGGTCATTTGTTGCAACTACTCGAACCTTGGGCACCGGTTTTGATTCAACATCAAATCTTTTTCAAGCTTAAACCATAAACTAGAACAAAACCAGCAGGTATACGCAATAAATGCACATTTGAGATATATGTTTTACTAAAAAATGTCGTAAATTTTCCAAAAAATTGCCCATATGATTTTACTGCTTATTCGAAATCTTGCCAGTTTATCATTATTAGCTCGATCGATCTTGTTTCAAATGGACCTTAATTTGAACTTTGAACTAAAACATAATTTTTGAATTAAAATAGGCCAATTCTGGCCTCAGAAATAGGCCCTTAATGCCTCATAATCTAGCCTGATAACAGGGATATTACTTATACCGAACCTTAGTTCTTTTCAATGTTACGTTTTGAGATTTCACCCGAGGATATTTGATAATAACAATGTAAGTACATAATTGTCATTGATCCATGTATCTGTACGACATAACATGCACAAACACAAACGAAAACTTACGTGAATATTCTTCTGACGAAGAAGTTCTCTGAGCATTTTTTCTCCACATCTTGGGAATTGCTTGACAAGCTTAATCACAATTTCAGTGAGCACCTCGTCGCTGACGTGTGAGAAACTGTACTTTCGCAACCCATAGCACATCATACGCCTATAAATAGTGCTCTCAGAAACGGCACAAAAATCCGAAATTTCTTTTACTGCGAATCCTATGTCCAACATGCTCTCGAGAATTGTCTTAGGAATTCTGAAACTTGAAGGTCCAGCTGTCGAACCAGACTTTGGAGGTTTGCAGTTTCCAAAATGTACACAAGCTGTCCTCAGGTTCATAACGTCATGTCTATTTTCAATTCCTAAACAGTTAAATTCGTACAATGATAAATCACAGATAATATCAGGTGTTATTTTTTCCCTTTGAAATACGATAATATGTCTATTAAGCCCAAGATTAGTCAAAATTTCATCCATATTTTACAAAACCATTAGAGAACTTGTTCCGAGTAAAATATTCACAGAGTGAATACATTCCACATATGTATGTTTGCGCAACAAAATGTAAGATCAACCGAACACTGTCAAAAACAAATAATACATATTAATTAACAAAATATAAGGACAGCTAAACTTAACATGTCTTTTTCTAAACTGCATAAAATGTCAGTGCCACCCAACAACATACTATATGAACTGAAAATAATGACGGTACTACAAAGTAGAGTTCTATTTTAACTGCACATAATTATTTTAGCACCGATTAGCAAATCATTTTAACTGAACATAATTACATTGAGACCACACAGTATATCATCTGAACTTAACATAATGACGGTATCACACAACAGTTTGTGTTCACTACTGAACATAATGACCTTTGCACTTAACAGTATATCATCTTAACTTAACATAATGACGGTATCACACAACAGTTTGTGTTCACTACTGAACATAATGACCTCTGCACCGAACAGTATATCATCTGTACTTAACATAATGACAGTATCACACAACAGTTTGTGTTCACTACTGAACACAATGACCTCTGAACCGAACAGTATATCTTCTGAACTTAACATAATGACAGTATCACACAACAGTTTGTGTTCACTACTTAACATAATGACCTCTGCACCGAACAGTATATCATTTTAACTTAACATAATGACAGTATCACACAACAGTTTGTGTTCACTACTTAACATAATGACCTCTGCACCGAACATTATATCATCTGAACTGAACATAATGATAGTATCAAGAAACAGTTCTTTTTAATAACTGAACATAACGACCTTTGCACCGAACAACACATTGACTTGACTGAAGAAGATATAATCAGCACACAATATAATGATAGTACCATTTAACTGTTCTATTTCACGACTGAACAGAATGAATAAAGCACCCTACAGCATATCATTGCAACTGAAAATAATGAAAGTATCACCAAATAATACACTGTCTCAACCAAACAAAATGATAGTACCACTCAACTGCTCATTTTCATTATTGAATATAATGAGAAGAGCACCAAACAGCATATTATTATAACCGAACATAATAACTGTAACACCATACAAAATATCTTTTTAACTCAACATAATTGTGTTACAACATGCCTGTTTGTTTCAAGAACTGAACATAACAACTAATGCACCCGACACTACATTGACTTGGCTTAATAAAATACAGTTTGCACACAATATAACACTTCAATAACTGAGCACATTGGGATTTCCACCCAACATATTGGGATTTACGCCCAGCATATTGTATCTCAGACTCAACAGAACGACATTTAACCAGGCATATCATTCAATCTTAACATAAGATAGTCCAGGCGTTCCATACTCATGTACTTGAACATGTTACACGGGTTTTGCGCTTGTATGAGTTTTGGCTGTTATGGCCCTTGAATAAAAATGGTTTTAAAAAGTTTGTCCAGACTACTCCTCTCATACCGCTAGTGCAATTTCAATGAAGCTTCATAGGATTGATTGGTAGCTCAAGTACTTGTGCATATTGCACAGGTGTTTCGGTCGAATGATTTTTTTGGCCAAGTAATGGCCCTCGAATAAAAAGGTGTTTTTTGTGTTGCAAGCTACACAGAAGTTGGGTGGACTACTCTTCAGAAACTACAGGTGCAATTGCATCCAAACTTTACAGTTATAATCAGTACCAGATCTAGTTTTGCATATCATCGACATTTTCGTTTCAATGATTTATGGCCCTTTAAAATTTTTATTTTTAAAATTTGTCCTAACTACTCCTCTTATAACACTAATACAATTTCAATGAAACTTTACATGATTGATCTGTAGCTCAAGTACTTGCTCATATTACATGGGATTTCCGGGTTTTCCGGTTGAGTGATTGCCCTTGAATATATGATACACAGTAGCTGTAACATGCCATTGGCACACATGAGGCGACACATGTGATCACTGATCGCTCTTACGTATATGTTTTTTCTTCCATTGCATATCATTTAATAATTTAGCACCTTATATATCCTCCGTTGACATTTACTCTGTTGAATGCGATTCTGTTTAAAACTTTGTTTTCAAATAGGATTGTGTGTACGATGATCTAAAATTCGGTTAGTTAAGAAATATTTAAAACAAGAGTGCTATGATGATCGTTACATCGCTCACTTGAACATAAATGCTCTTCATGACAAGTATCAAGTAATATTGTAAACTACAAACAAAAGCGGAAGTAACTAGTTGCTATGGAATTTACAGTTTGCTATGAAAAGTCAATGACTGCTTTAACGTCACTGGTTGCTATAGAGGACAATGGTTGCTATAGAAGGAAACGTTTGCTATGGGAGTCATTGAACGCAGTTGATGCTTGATAAAATCAGTGGTTGCTATAGAAAGTCAATGGTTGCTATAAGTGTCAATAATTGCTATTTGAAATCACTGTATGCTATGGAAGTTAATGGTTACTGAAGAAAGTCGCTATGGCAGTCTATCGTTGCTATTGAAAAAGCTAAATAAGTCTATGGTTGCTATGGTAAGTCAATGCTTGTTTTGAATGTCACTGATTGCTATGGAAAGTCCATGTTGCTATAGAAGTCTATGATTGCTACGGAAAGTCACTGGTTGCTATGGAATGTCCCTTGTAGCTATTGAAGGTTGAAATTCAAATGGTTGCTATGAAAATTCATTTGTTATCATGGAAAGGCACTAGTTCCTATGGAAAGTCAATGGTTGCTATAGAAAGTCAATAATTGCTATGGTAAGTCTATGGTTGCTATGGAAAGTCAATGGCTGCAATAATGGTCACTAGATTCCATGGAAATTGATGGTTGCTGTGGAAAGTCAACAGTTGCTATGTAAATCAGTGGTTGCTATGTAGTCATTGGTTGCTATGGAAATTTCTGGTTGCTATGGAAAATCACTATGTTGGTCACCTTGGCGATACAAAGGGTCACTGACCATTTCTTTTTGGTTATAGAATAAATTGACCTGTTTTTGGCCAGTTATGTCATTTTCTTGATTTTGTATAAATGGCAAAATTTGGTAATCTTGGTTAGAATTTGAAAGCCTTTTATGTGTGTCTAGGTGCTCGTTTAAAGTATTAACATAACAGGTCCAATCTCTTATATTAACTGCTCAGAAATGTCCATAATTAAGGACATTTATAGAGTCTACTTTGATTTTCAGACTAAGCTTAACAAGTAAGTGATATGAGGTTGAATTTCATGTTTGATGTGTGACATGATTATTTGCTGAAAATTATATGATGCAACTGTTCAAATTAATGTTTATGTAACTTATTGTTTCAAAATCCCTCAATGTATGACAAAGTTACAATCCGGTCACAAATGAAGTGGGGACGCACAGACTGATCGACAGTGCGATTTTAATATGCCGCCCTTTGGGGGCATAAAAAATATTGAGGTTTTATAAATTCACACAGATATGTACTGCCTATCCTTGATTAATATGTGACATGTTCGATTCGTCTTTTATTTGGAATATCAAGAAACTGAGATTTTTTCTTCTTACAATTTGAAAGACTATAATACACAAGTGAGGGCGATTTCAAAATATATCTTTTCTGATCTTCTTGTATTCAATTAACAAACACCATATCAATATAATCTACAAAATCAAAAGATAAATGTATGTAATTTAAAATCAAACTTTATTTGTCAATAAAAACTAAATCAAAAGATTGGGAGGGGAGAACGACACATCAAAACACCAGGTCAGTTTATGTATTTATTCTATCTATTCTATCGGTTTCAGGTACTAAATACCCTTCACCAGGTTATTGGTTAATGTACATGTAAATGGTATGTATGGCATATTTTGTATACCTTTGAACAGACATGCTTAAAGCGAAAACAGTTATATTTAGACATTTTTTCTTAAAAGCAGTTCACCACTTTATTATATTATTTATTGCATTCATGTACATGTACTTGGATATAACACTTGTATTGATTGAGTAGTCCTTAACAAAAATAGAAAAAAAAAAGAAAAAAAAGAATAACAAATAATATATATTCAAGGTTTAGAGAATCTGAAGCTGCCTCAAATGAAAGATCAGTCTGTATTCCTGATAAATCTTACCCATTACATAATGATACTAAAGGTAGTACACCCCTACTCTGAAGAGTATTCAACTAGGCAAGAATCACTGTAAAGCGTAATGAAACTGAGGGGCGTGGGTTCAAAACCCAGAAGGGGCATTTTTTTTTCTTTCTTTTTTTTTCTTTTTAACATTTTTTATTAATCTCTCAGATCCCAAATGGGAAAAAAGAGTTTCATTTTAATTATATAATTATCGTAGGCATTTATTTACTAAATAATGCCAAATTTAATAGCAAATATGATAACAGATATTTTCGAAATTTAATAAAACAAAAACTACACGGTTAAAGTGTTTTAAATTTTGCAAGACCAACCAATATACATTTAAGAAAATTAAGGCAAACTTTGAAAACAGCCCTTCATTTTGGAAAATTTTAGGGATATTTAAAATAAGATTTTTTACATAGGGAAATGGTCAAATAAGTGTTAAAAGTGGGTGGGGTAGGGTTACATTTTTATACATATTAAAAACATTTCGTTTTAAAGCAATCATTTTGCTTGTTCAATTTGTTACCTAAATGTCATTATTTGTTTCTTAACAATGAGCAATAGAAAAACATTTTTCATAATGATGTTATTATAGATTATTTAGAGTTTCCTCATTTCTAAAAAAAGCCCTTCTAATGGCAAAGTTTTAGTTCAGAAAAAATGTCCATAACTCATAAAGCACACGGTAAATTTTTTAAATTTTGCAAACACTGAGGTGACATTTAAGGCATATAACTGTCCTATGTTGTCAATTTTACAGTTCCTTATAGTGCCCATTAGGGGTGTTCTACCTTAAAAAATGTATCGATAGTAACCCTCCTTCTCTTTTGGTATTGGATTTTTACATCATACAAACACTACAACTTTCCATCTTATCTGGTTGAGGATGACCTCAGGTATCCTTTAAAATAGTAAACCAGATATGTTTCAAATGCTAGCTAGACAGCTTCCTCACATGAAAGAATCCAAAGTCCCTAGCTGGATTTGAAACCCCAGTGGTGAAGGGCAAGTAGTTTAAAGTCAATAATTTAACTACTTGGCTATACACCTCCCTCTTTTGACCCACATTAACCATGTAACAAACTTGACTGAGATTTCATTGAGGTGAATTCTCATAAAGTTTTGTTAATATCAGATTGAAAACAAAAAGGTTTTTAATTAGACATGAAGACCTTGTTTTTTGAACAAACAAACATTTTCTAAATATTCTGCAGAAAATATAAGGTCTTAGTAGATACAAGGCTCTTCTATGATTGCCCCAATGTGATCAAGTTTCTATCTTGATCAACACTTTATTGAGACTAACAAAATAGAGAAATTCATGAAATTTTGAGAACAAAAACACATTGTTATTAAGAATGTCCTCAAGGCTTTACAAGACTCAGACAAGTACAAACACGAGTGTTACTCATCATATTAAATGGAATACAAAATGAAACAGAAGACCCTGTACTGTGCAAAAATGTATCATAACATGAAGGTATCGCATATGATATATCAAACACTTGATATAATACAATATTTCCATACTAACATACCTTATGGTATATCAAAAATATATTTTTTAAAGTAGTTGTAGAATTATTACAGCAGATCTATAATACTGATGATATTTCTTAAGCTCTACTAAACCATTATCTGCACTTAAGTCAGCACATTCCTGTATCTTAAGGATGGCTTGACTCTGAATTCTGAAGTCACTGGCTCCATTGCCCAGGGATACAGCTCTTGTTGTGTTATACATGGTACATTCACTGGCCTCATAACTTCATCCTGGTATATGTGAAGGTCATCTCGAAGTTTTATTATGAAATCAGAATGTTTCTCTTTCATCTCATGGGTTATTCCTGAACAAAAGATTCTGTAATTAAGAGTCAGCCAGAGAAATAAAACAGCTAAAGTGCGTATACTTTTTCCTTCAAACAGTTCTACAGGTTTAGATTGCAATAAAACATCATTTTCTGTATCAAAAAAGCAAACCATAAAATGCTTTGATTTGATTCCTACACCAGGTATCATGTAATTTTCCAGTTTTTCTCTGTTCAGTTTTTGTTTTAAAAATGAAAAAACAATTGTCTGCGCCAAGATCTGATTAACATCTTTTTTTACAAAATTGTCTGCAACTTTCTCTTCAAGTGAAGAAACTGATTGATTGTCACATGTAACATCATGATGATGATGATGATCATCATCTTCTTTAACATCATCATCACCAAAAAATAGAGATACTGGAAGATCTTTCATTATGATGTCCGATTTTCCATGCCATCCTTTTAAACAACCTGAAAAAATACAAAATACTTTAAGTAGAGTTAAGTTGAAATGTCCAAAGAAAATTAAAAAACAGACTAAATGTTTCTAATGTTAAACATCCTCAGTGATTAAATAGGGATTTGGTGTTTTAAACATTTAACCTGTAAATTGCACATGCTTTAATAGAATGTATATTATTTTCTGACCAAAACATACCTATTTAATTGTTAAAAATATGATAAACAAGATCAACAAGGAAAGGCGGCGTTCAATGAACGCAACCCCCACATGACCCAGCAACAAGAACCAATGGCAAGGAGCCCAGGGGGACCCCATACAAAAACAGGACAGGGCAAAGACAGAGCACGGACAGGTTAATCATTAAATGATAATTAATTTGTAACTGATTAGGAATTCAAAGAAAATAAAAATAGGCCCACAAAGGGGAAGGGGACAGGAGACCGGGGGGAGGGGGTAGGGAGTAATCAAAGAAATAAAAACTAGAGGCAATGGGGAAGATACTTACCGTAGACGAGAAAACAACAAGGGACACAAGCAAAAGTGTCACCAAAACAGTATGAAACAACATAAGACATACATCTGAGGAACACAGTGGGGCGCCGCCTTGGAACGGTCAGCAGCATAATAATGACTGCTGGGGAGTTTAAACCGGTTAATGGTGCACCAAACCTCGCTCTTAGCCCCACCATGTTCCTATAAACGAGACAGTGTAAATAAAATGAATCCCCGCCAAGTGAAATTCTAACAGTTGTCATGGTTACAAAAGGTTAAATAAGTAAAACACTAAAATGATCATGTAGAAACATATAAAAGTAAACCCAATGACCATAACAAAAGTACTCAATGTCCTAAAGGAAGACAGAGCAACAAGAAAATCACCTACAAGGGCCCGACGAAGCAAGGCAGAAGACGAACATTAAGACAATTCAGTCCCAAAGGGCTTTACGAACTATCCATCATAGAGTCTTCCACTTGGTCCGTCAGATGCAATCAAAAGAGGAAAGCGTAGTGTCCAACTGTAAAAGGGTTGAACACTAAACATGCAGTATGTCTTAAAATAGTAGGGTCATAACCTCTTTTAATAAAACGTTTAATGATTTTAGTAAAAACAGCAGAAAAATTACCATGACCCAAAATCTTACGAAGTTTGTAAATCACATCGCCATAAAAACCAGGCTGGCATAGCTCTCAATTAACTGTTTCCCCCTTAACTTTTATAGAGCTTCCACAAGAGTGACAAATGCCACAACTTGATCTCTATATCACAGGTTATTATGTTCAATGATCAATTTTACATCTAAAACTGTCCACATGATCCAAATTTCATAGCTGTACATCAAAGAACTACAAAATATGTCACTGTGCCAAATTATATGGGTCAGCTGATATCAATTTTAGATTTTAACTGTGCACATGGTCAAAATTTAAAATCTGTACATTAAAGGTCAATAAAGTAGGTCATATGTCAAATTATCTAGGTCAGCTGATTTAAAATGAAGGTTCAATTTTTCATCTGAAACAGAACACATGGTCCAAATGTCACAGTGTTATAAGAACAAGAGCTGTCACAGGAGACAGCGAAGTTCAACTAATTAAATTCTTGACACAGTGAGGAAGACAAAACTATGAAAGAAAAATCAATTATGATATAAATATATTTCTTCTTTTGACAAGAAGTTATAGTTGTTAACATGACGAGGGCATAATTCTGAAAATAGTCACACTAGAGTTATAAACCTTGTCACACAACATGTGTGTTATGATAAGAAATATATATTTGAAGTTTTAAGTAGATACATGTACCTTAAAAAGTAAAGTTATTATATTTCTTAAAGAAAATTCTAAGTTCAAAGGGAGATAAATATAAAATATTGCTTCAATAGTTATGAACCTTGTCACATAAGATGTGGTTGATGATAAGGAATATGTATTTGAAGTTTGAAGTAGATACCTTTAAAACTAAAGAAGTTATGGTAAAAAATAACATTTTTTGAGTAAAAAAAATCTAAGTTCATGGGGAGATAATTCTTGCAATATTTGTGCTAGAGTTATGAACTTTATCAGATAAGATGTGGTTAATGATAAAGCACATATATATGAAGTATGAAGTTGATCCCTTAAGAAATAAAGAAGTAACAGTAAAAGATAATATCTTTTAAGGAAAATTCTAAGTTCAAGGGGAGAAAATTCTTGCAATATTGGTGTTAAAGTTATGAACCTTGTCACATAAGATGTGGTTGATGATAAGGAACATATATTTGAAGTATGAAGTTGATACTTTAAGAAATGAAAAAGTTTCAGTGAAAAATATTTTACTGCACCAAAACTTTAATCTAAAATCTGGATGCGTACCCCGACGCCGGAGTAAGTAAGACTATGTATAGTCAAGCTAAAAATAAGAGAATTTCATTTGATAGTCAAAGACAATTAAAGGTCATGGTCCAATTAATCTGTTGTCAATCCCAGCACATGTACTGATCATATATATAAAAGAGTTAATACATGTAACAGTATAAGCTGTTTTGAAAAAATTTCATATTTCAACACATATATTCATTATAGCCGTTGATTTTTTTAAAAAAACGGCTTTATTTTAAGTTTTATATATATATATATATATATATATATATATATATATATATATATATATATATATATTATATATATATATATATATATATATATATATATATATATATATATATATATATATATATATATATATGATCAGCACATGTGCTGGGATTGACAAATATACATTTTATTTGAATTTTAAAGGCGTTTAGAGGTCCACACCCCCAAGTGTCTGTGTTAACATCAGCAAAAACTGCCAAGATTCCTAATTCACCTACAGTCATTAGCAGACTATACTTATCAAATAATCCTAGAATGTATACTTTACCATAGCTTGTATCTCCAACTTTTCCTACCATCTCATCCTTCAATTCACAGAAACACTTTCTTGTAGCTCCTTGCAATGTTGGTCCTGGGCCTGAATCGATAGTGTAGGTACTATTGACTGCTAGCTTCGACAGGAGATGCTGCGCAAGTGTGACAGACCATGCTACTTTACTGTCTTTTCTGCCAAATAAAGCACTGTGATCTGTAAGTCACAAATACAAAGTTCTTTGTACAGATGTACATTTCAAAAAGAAAAAAACAACATTAACAAAAAAGCAACACACAACTATGAATAGTTTCTTATAATTCTCATTTGTGTAATTATTATGTTATCAGAGGAATGATGAGTGATGTTGTATAAAGATTAAAAATTTTAACATTTTTTATAGATGTCTTGAAATTCAAACAAATATCTTCAAATATATAATATTACAAAATTTCAAAACAAACTATACCCAAAGTTATTATCTACTATTGTATAAGTATTTTAAATATTGATAAAATAAGCCACATCCCCATTAAATAGGGGTAATTTAGTTATAGAAACAGGACATACAAATCAGAGCAATAAAAGCAAAGAATAAAAAGCAGGAATATGTGACTTAATATCTCTTGAACATTAATTTTAGAGATATCTAAGCCCTGAACCATCGTTGAAACCCATGGTACACATTCCGTATATACTACATTTATTATGGTAAATAGCCTGGGTTACAGAGGAACAAAGATACATAATAAAATGGGCAATACATCAAAAATAATTCAGACACGAGTCATTGGTCTTTTACTCTGCACTTCTCTTTTATAAAAATATATCCATCTAAAATGTTGCCAAGTATCTAGTTGCAAGTTGGTATTTCATATACTTAATGAGTTATGGTCCTTGAAAATAAAACATGAAAATTAACAGAGGGTGATAACAAAAAAAAAACAAACAACAAGAGCTATGTCAATATGGCCATCCCCCCAGCCGAATGTGTTTGCTCATTGGAAGAATGTATATGTAGTAGAGCAGAATAATTCAGAGGTCTTTTGGTAATCAAAACTGATGGCTGAAGTGATTACAGATTTGAAACCTATGTGCATACCGATGGCTGATGGTAACAAAGGGCAATAACTGAAAAATAATGCAAGGTAGGTTATCATTCTTGTGTGCTGCACTCCTCCTCAATGAGATATATCCATCTACATTTGTATGAAGTTTCAAGTTGTTACCTCTAACACTTTTGACATATTAAGGTTCGGACAAAAAGTATGAAAAATAACAAAGGGCAATAACTAAAAAATAAGGGAAGAGTTATCACTCTTGTGCACTGCAAACCTCCTGAGTGAGATTATCCACCTATTAAGTTTCATATTGATATATATCTCAAAGGCTTTTTGAGTTATGATCTGGACAAAAATTAAGTTTGAAAAATAACAAAGGGCAATAACTGAAAAATTATTCAGGGTAGAGATATCATTCTTGTGCACTGCACTCCTCCACAATGATCTATCCACCTATGAAGTTTCAAGTTGATACCACAAATTATAAGATATAATATTATGCTCCAGACAAATATGTCAGACAGAAGGGCGAACAGACTGATGGAAGGAAGGACAGACAGAAGGACAGAGACTAAGTTATATTTTGAGTTTCAAGTGAATACCTTACATAGTAAATACCAGAGACATCTATAGGTAACACTTAACAGAGATTATATAGGCAGCTTCCTAGCCAGTCAAAATATCATGTGTACCAGCTAAACTTAAAACTTGCAGCAAGTAAAACTTATTAACCAGATATCAAAATCAGAAAAATAATATGCTTATGCATTTGTCTTTGGCTGCAGGTTAAAATATTTACAGTTCCCATTTTAATAAATGTTACATCATTTATTTAAAGAGAACTACTTAATAATTTTTGTTACAAAACTATTCATATGACAAAAAACTGGCTCAGTGGGTATGTTCTGCCATGTTTTTCTAAGTGAAAGGCATGGAAAGTTACCAATATTCTAACATGCAGCAATAGAAAAAAGATTTACCTTTCAAATGGTATATAATATTTAAGGATTAAAAGTACATCATTAAGTTTTATTTGCTACAAAATGCCTAATTTTTCACTTTTTGACAGGCATGACTGATATTTCAATGGAGTATATAGGAGCTGCTTATCCCTGTTATCTATGTCTCTGTAAAGAATCAGGGTCAGCTCAGCCCTAAAACATACTCGGCCCCTGAGTCAGCTTGGCCCTATTCCAACTTGGCACAGGTCAACTCGGCCCATAATTATACATTACTGGTAATGATTGCTTTTATTATTTTTTATATGTTTTCATCATAACTTTCATTGTTTAACATTTTGACAGTAAAAGACCTCTACTCAAGGATATTGAAAAGTTTTATTGATGAAAGTACAAATTTGTATACATGTGAGTTTGTAGAGAAAGAAAGAATTTACAATTTATATGTATGGTTTGCCTACTCCAGATGTTATTATAAAAATATTGTTAAAACAGCATTGGTTGTATTAAAGAACAAACAGGATTAAATACAATAACATTACTGTCACAAAATTCTATCTAAAAACTCTATTTATGGATCAATATTTAACATATATTTAATGTCTTGATATATCTTCTTAACATAGATAATTTCAAACAATTCGTACAGGTACATTACCCTGCCAACTTTTTCAATTTCTGTTTGTAAGTGATGGTACATTGTACTTCTGAATAACTTTATAGTAATTTAAATTACTCCTTAAATTTTTATTAACTGAAGAATCAATATCTTAATTTAAGTCTAAAATAAGGGCCGAGTTGAACTGTGCCGAGTTGATCCGTGCCTAGTGAGTATAGGGCCAAGTTGACCCTTTACCCTCTGTAAATACTTAATACGTAACTGAACAAAAAAATAGGCAAAATTCTTGTGCACTGCACACCTCCTTAATTTTTTTATCAACTTAACAATCTAAATCTTAATATAGGTTTTTAATAGAGGGCCGAGTTGACCTGTACCGAGTTGGTATAGAGTGTACCCGTATGACGTCACGCGTACCTGCGGCGGCCATATTGGTAGACAACAACAAGGTGACACAGGGTTAAAAATCAGGTCGATAATGTTTACATTCTTTAACATTAATTTTCTCAAATAGACTTCAGATATGCCTTCCTTTTGTGCAGTGTTTGGCTGCTCTAACAGACATGATCGTGAAAACGACAGATCATAAGTTCAGCCATTTCACATTAAGTTAAGCAATTTTTCAGAATATGTGTCACATGAATTTCACAGTAGTCAGCTCGAAAAATTGTTGCATATTCGTAAAATTATATCTTTTAGTGAACTTATTACATAAATATTTTTAAAAACAACCTCAAGTATAAAGAACTACTCTCAATGAACGGAAGCATATAACTTTTGGCCGTGAATTACGTTACAAAAACACTCATCATATTAATTGTCTCTAAAAAAAGAACAAACAAGAAACTGGACTCTAGTTATACGCTTTTTTTTATTTATTTAACTCTTGAACATTGAAAACAATTAATAGTTAACATGAACTTGCAAATATATAAACAACATGTAGAATGAAAGAAATACATTAATTTCTGTTTTGATTGTTTTGCTTCAGAGCTAAAATTATTTCATATGTCAATTAATATAGATACAAATTCCTGTGACATATTGTGAAATGAATATTAGTATTTCGACAGGTGCAACCCTTTTTTCAAATAATTTTCCATAATTGTTTTAAGTGTTCATATGAACCTCGGCGTAAAACAGTCTGTACTGATATACACTAACGGTAACGTTATTCACCATAATTGAGTATTAGTTATAAGCGCTTTAAACAAAGTTTTACTTCAAGTATGGACATCAACAAATTTAATAAGATAAATATTGAGTTATAAACAGATCTTATAAGAAATACAGATTTGTGAGAACACTCATTCGATAATAATCGTTTTGCGCTAGAAGCGTTTTAATAATATCCAAATTGAATTTCGTTGCCATTTTTTAAAATTTGCTGTAAATGTGTATTTTATTGAAGTTCATATTACAAAATACCAACTAAAACATGTAACACTAAATAACTGAACTGTTCATAACTAATCATAGAGATATGTGTCACTTTCTTCATCTTAACAAACGGTAGCGTAATTCACTAAACACTTAACCAAACACTTTAACTTAAAATATAATGTTCTGTATTGATAACACGTGTATTAACCAGAAGTTTTTCAAAGACAGCCATGTTTCTCCAAAGTTAAAATGTTTCTCTTCAATACTTCTTTAAATGTTTTAATTATCAGGCTTCAGAGCGATTTTCATAAAAATAATTGATTATTATCAAATAAAAGTAGCTACATTTATCTGGTAATGACATTATTACTTCAGTTTCAACAAATATTAAGCAAGCAAAATAATTCCATAACAAAGCAACAATAATTTTTCAAAACCATATCAATACAATGTTTAGTTTCCTGGAACCTCTTTGCGGTAACGTAATTCACACAAATTGACTTATCATCCAAACAATGTAGTACTACGCTATAAATTCTTTATTCAATTTCAATAGAGTTCATAAACTTGTAGACTGCTTAACTGTTTTTCACAAGTTATTTTTTACGATAACATTCACTTATATTTTTTAAACATGTCTACGATTGTATTTATATCGCATTCCGGTATCTTGTACATTTTCCGTGTACCGTGTGGAGCAGGCTCGGTAACTGTGCATAGAATGTGATGTTTAGCTCTCCATACTTTGTCATCGATAGTCGGCCACTTGAATGTTTACCCAACTTTGCCCTTACCGTTAGCCATAAATAAAATGTGATATTGCAAATTCTCATCTTCTGGGTCGTATTCAATTATTTTGCCTAAATACCAGCTTTCATCATACACTGCTGCTACGTAACTACCTACCGAGAATGTTGCCGGGGTCTTAATTTGCGCCTCTTCTGGTCTTGCAAGCTGTACAACCGGTACGTTTTCCATTTCGTTTGCTTCAGATGGATTTATATTATGCACGCGGCAGCCTTCACGCGTTGGTTTAAATTGTCCGTCAGCAAAACAATGTTCGCAAACGCATGATGTGTTTCTGATGGCAATCTCCGCGGTCTTCAACTGCACAACACTATGTATTTCTAATGTTCCCTTAATTGGTTTAATATTCCAGGCAGGCAATTCCAGTTGTGCTTGGTCGCATTCAATCTTTGGTACAAATACGTACTTAATTTGACTTTTATCTATTGTTTCACCCCAATGATAATAATCCTCTGCCAACTGAATAACCGCTACTTGTCGCTTTACTGCTAAGTCAGCTAAACGCTTGGATGTTCCCCCGACCCCGTCGCAGGGCTCCTTTCCATGCCCCGCTTCCCAGTACTGCCAAGAAGCTTTCATTCCAAATATTTTATCATGATTGGCCACGAGGTACATGATTCTCTTATTCCTATATTGTGATGTGGGTGAATCTGTTACGTAATGAATGCAATTTGTATTTGGCCGATTAGCTTTTACTTCCTCGCATTTTTTTTTCATAAAGGAATAAACTGTTCCAGAGTTATGCGACGGCGTATGATGTATGACCAATTTTACCCTTAGCATCTTTAAAATAAACTACCACTGGGTGAAGGGTGACTGAACATTTGTCAAAATAAGCATTTTGAATTTCATCAGCATGCCCACATGAATAGTTTTCGGCAAAGTCCATTTGGCAGAGAACGTGATCTCATGGCATTTTTTCTTTCAATGCTGTAATTTGAACATACTGAGTTTTTACCCTTTCTGTGTGCTTTCGAAATTCCGATAAATCGTGCGTAAACAAATCTATAAACTCATTTTTCGGCATTTCTAGATTTGCTACCATCATACGTTTAGTCATTCGTCCCTTATGTTCAACTTCTTTTCGTTTCCATTATGTATATTTAATTGTGTCTGAAGGACAGTCTCTTAATTTCTGTATTATTTCTTCATCTGAATTGTTAGATATCAGTGTATCTGGATTTTCAGTTGTCGAAACGCCTACTGACTTTAAACCTTTTACCTTAAGTGACATATTTTGATGTTTTAGAAACTACCCGCCTATATGACTGAAATACTGTTGGGAAAAGGCGTAAAATGAAACAAACAAACAAACAAATTTGATGTTTTTGGCATAAGCATGTTCTTCGGGCACTAAATTGCACCAGTTTTACGTGCTTTTGTCTGTAGCTACAAAATGAGGTGAATCCTATTTTCATGTGCGGATTTTCAGACTTAAATTTCAGGTGCAAATTGTAGAGATAATCATTAAGTACTCTCGTTCGAGTCATACCAGACTTTGTTTTCAGTTTAACTCGTTTTCCTGGTAGGCAGGTGCTGTTGTCATCGCGCTCTAAAAAGCGTTTTACATTTTCTGACGTTTGCAATTTTTGAAATGCCTTTCTACGTTTTCTCAATTAATGTCCTGTCCCCGCTTTATTGATTTGGCCCCTGTTTACTCCAAGTGCTCTACTTGAATTTGATGTCATTCTATACCTTTTGATTACTTTGCCCACATACTATTTGCAGCGCTGTACGCTGCCTCGCTCTACCGCGATTAGGAGCTATGTTTCGTTTCACTTCTTCTACGATACTGTTGTGGAATGTTAGCTGCTTTATGAGTTTGGGTGCTTTTTTTGGTGTTAGGCCTTCACTTCTTAATAAATCAACAGACTTGCTTCTTCTTGGTGTCATTGGTGTATTTAATTCATTCTCGGAAGTTTCCGTTTTCTGTCGGATTTTGTTGTCGAGCTTGAGTTAACAACTACTTTAGCGTTCAATTCTTTTGATTTTGGAGTTTGTTGAGATTGAGCATTATCCCTTTGCAGTCGTTTGCGCAAGGTGTTGTTTCGTTTCTTTAATGCTGAAAGGCGTGATTCTAGTTCCTGTATCTTTGTGTTTGGCTTTCTTAACACAATGTTTATTTTTTTCCAGCTTCCCCTTTTCTCGGCGAATTCATGTTAACAACCATTTTTTGATTTTGCTCTCTATATGATGTGTACTTGGCATTAAGTTCATTGTGGTTGAATCACATGGTCCTGGTGACTGATCATCGTTTATCGCTTCCTGATTCTGTATTATATTATCTTCTTCTCCTGCACGACTGAGCTCATTATTGTTGACTTCCTTCTGATTTTGTCTTAGTCTTTGCATGCATTTTCGGACGCGTTCCGTCTGCTTTTAAGCTTATTTGGGCCTATTTCTGTGTTGGCTTGTAATAAGATTTGACTCGTTCAGTCTCTTTTTTCAGATAGTTTCTGCCTTCTTTTGCCTTTTTTCGTTCCCTATAGGCTCGCTGAATCTCGGCCCTGCTTTACCCATCGCCCTGAAACGATATGTGATGTTTGTGAATTACGTTACTTCTCTGTGAATTACGTTACCATTTGGTAAAGCATTTGTAGCATAAATATGTAAACAATAGCAATCAACGATATTTTCTTTTTAAATAAACAACATGTCTGGTATGCAGCTGATGCAAAATATATTTGTATAACCCGATTTATAAAATGAAATTGTTCATAAAAAAATGTGTCACCTACCTCGAAAATTTTCTTTCAAATTTTTTGACAAAAAACAAATTTTCCCGCCTCGAAACTTTCCGGAAATTAACACCGTGTAGCAAGTGCGGTGTTCCGGTAAAACGCACCCCATTCATTTGGATCCCTAGGACCTTATTTTCGGCGTTGTACTGGAAATGATAGTAACGTAATTCAACAGTAACGTAATTCACAAATCGAATGTTTCTTGGGTTTTATTTTATCCATCCACGTAGAAAAATGACTTGATTTAATCATTTCTTTAGATCATTATATTGTGGTTTATAAGGGCTGTAGTAAGTGGATATTATCAAAGTATGTCTGTACAAATACAACCAGTAACGTAATTCACAAAATCACCGTTGTATCGGGGACACATTTTTGAAAGGTGCTCAATGTATTTTACTATTTTCCAATAGTAAATTCAGTTTGCCTATGTTGTAATAGATACCTTAATGTGTTCTCATGCAGTAGTTGTGTGAATATAAAGCAGTTAAATATAAGTTTGACAGTGTATTTAAAACGGTAACGTAATTCACGTGAATTTTTGGGACAATTATATCTTTGCCAAGATTTTTTTTACAGTATAGTTTTTCAGCGTTTAAACTGTAGTAATTTTTGCTTCAATGTGCACACTTGATAATAAAAGTGAAAAAATATCATTCTGTCGACATCAATGTGGCACAGATCACCTGTTTGTGAGATGACTGTGGCAGTGGGACTGGAATTTTCCTGCATTTTGCACGATTCAAAAGGAGTGCATGAAGATATTATGAATATAATGTTTACAAGCCTATATGTTTTTTGTTTAAGACATTCGTCTTGTAACTGAAAACACCATTTTTGTTAAAATATATATGATTTGTAAGCTACACAAGCATGTGACGCTATGTATGTGCATTTGCTTAACTTAACGTGAAATGGCTGACTACAGATTGCCTAAAGTTATTAAACACCAGGGTGAAAAGACACAGCAGCTTTCTCAAGATCGACGAGATAAATGGTTGGCTAATATCGCTCGAGTTGATCTAAAGGCCTCCAGCTATGATAACCTTCGTATCTGCTCTGATCATTTTATCAGTAAGTATAAAGTAATTGGGTTATATATTTTGTAATATAGAATAATTATTATGTTATTCATTTTTGGGGGTCGTTCATGAATGATGAGGATCTGCGGCGCTGTTCTACCACACTCCACAGTACCAGTTTATGCAAGGCATCTGTGACATTTTTCTACGACATATGCATTAAAAAAAATAAATGCATTTAATTAAAAAAATATTTTCTGTAAATATGCATTTTTTATCATATTATCATTTGTTAGATTTTTTATTTAAACAAATGTTTGGTGCTTGGGACTACATAATTGAGCCATGTCACGACAAAATTAACATAATGGGTTTGCGACCAGCATGGATCCAGACCAGCCTGCGCATCCGCAAACCCATTATGATGGTTTTGTCGTGACACGGCTCATATATATAAATAGTGGCTTTAGTGCTCTCAATATAGTGATTTTCTCCCCTTAAAAATGAATAGTGAATGGTGAAGAATGCAAAATATATGATGTAAAATGAGTCCTTTTTTGCCAAACTTATACATTTAAATAATTTTGTATTCCTTTTCAGATAAACCCGCAGACTTGTATGATCAACTCAACCCTGACTGGGCACCAACAGTGAAAATGGGCCGCTGCCATGTCCTGAAAACACCCACACCAACAAAGTCACGGTATAACCGGTCATTGATCAGATCATCAAAAAAGTTAGACACTGCTGCTGCATCTGCGCTATTGGAACTTAGTTGTGGTAATAGTGAGACAGACCCTGACCTGGAGATGGAAAGTGGTACAGCATCACAGACAGATGTAACATGCAGTCTGCTAAAAGCAATGGATAGTGAAGTGCAAAGACTTCAAATGGAAAATGCTAGATTACAACAAAAAGTTGACAGTCAAAACTTTGACCTACCATTCTTCTATGGGGATGATGCAAAGGTAAAATACTACACAGGTCTTACCAACTTTTCTGTACTCAAAGCCCTATATGACTATGTAGAGCCAGACATTCCAATTACACATAAAAGTGCTCTTAATAAGTTTCAACAACTTATGGTGGTGTTAATGAAATTAAGGCTGAATGCATCCAATCAAGATCTGGCAGTCCGGTTTGGTGTGTCTGATACTACAATATCTAGGGTTTTCCAAACTGGTTTTTTAAAAATTTTACAATGGGGCTACTAAAACCCAACAAATTTACACTGGCCCAAAACAAAGGGGAAAACTAAAAAAGGGGCCCCCCCAAAAGGGCCTTTAGGACACTTTTTGGGAAACCCAAAAGTGGGGGAAAATTTAATTGACTGCTTTAAAATTACAATAGAAAGGCCATCAAACCCTTAAAAGGGCGCTGTGAAAACCCTTTGGTAAAATTATAAACAAAATTAAAAAACACCCAAATCCTTATGGTGGGGAATCCCCAGGGTGTAATATTTCAAAATCAAAGCAAATGAGGGGCCAGGGAAAAAGTGATAAAAACAAAAAACAGGGGATTTGGTTTTCCCTAAATAAACTTGAAACCGGGGTGATGTGAATTTTGGGCAGAAAAATGGGTTTAAAATTCAGGATAAATTTTGGGGGGACTATGTCTGTAAATTTTATGAACCGGCCTTCACCAAAGGAAAAGCTCAGTTTTGGGCGTTGGATGCCCGGAGGGGGAAAAGACGATAGCAAACAGCCCAAATTTTTCAGGGTTTAAAACGATTTGTTTGGGTTGTTTTTAGACAAAAGAAATTCTACCTTTCTTTCGGGGATACCCCTTTGATTTTTTTCCCGGGGTCTGATTCAAGGGGATAAATTTCCCTTTCTTGACAAAAAAAGTTCAATTTCTTTTTGCGGCCCTTACAAAGGGGGTTTGCCCTCCGTTTTACAAAAAAATTTTAATTTTTTAATGATTGTTAATTTGGTTTAGTTCAAAATGTTTTTCCCTTTAAAAAAGCTACAAAACATTTGTTTTTTATTTGTGATAAATTTGGGTTTTACTTTTAAAGACATATACATGTAGCTCTTGTCTATTCACCAAAAATGTATATACTTTATTATTTATTTGCTAAAATGAATATATATGTATTTGCCCAAATAATTATATTTATATGCAAAATAATTATTGAATATGTCTTTCATTTAGTCACAGTGTATTTATTTATTTATTTCAAGCAAGGACATATTATGATTCAAGCTCTTAACTTCATGGTATAGAATATGCTCAGATTACATCTATGATACTGATTTGAGAAATATTAATTCTAATGCTAAATGTCTTTCTTTATTTTTAATTAATAATTTATTCATTGTAATATAAAGATGTTCACTTAATACTGATTTAAATCTCAAACTTTTTAGTGAATTCAACAGTAAAATGAGAAGGCGATAAAAGTGCAATTATTTAATTGCTTTCTTCTTGTAATATAATTAATTAGATTATAGATATAATTAATTAATCATTTTCTAAGGTAAATTGTTTGGTAGTAACCGTAGTATATTCACAAGTAAATGTAAAGTATGTGTAACTGTTTAACTGACAATTAATTTGAAATACATGTATCATAATTAAGCAAAGTATGTGTAAATGTGTTATAATTTTTTTTTCTTTGTTTTTTTTGTTTGTTTGTCTGTTTGTTCGTTTGTTGATTCATTTCATTATCATGCTGTTGAAATAATATCGTTGATTAAATTAACAAAAATAAATTATTTCTTTTGTAGTGTCTTTGAAAAGATGAGAACATTATGAAAACTGTACCAAACTTTGTTCACTTTAGAGTAACCTCTGAATTATCAACAAGAAATATTTTTGATATCACTTTATTTAATATTATGATGGAGTAACAGAAAAAAAATTACTGATAAAAACACAAGTCATAGGATTCCTATTTGACAGCAAATAACAAAATTAAATCAGTTTGTTCTTTTCAACTTAATACAATTTTTTTTATGCATTTTCAACTGAATACAATTTTTTTATGCACACAAAGCACAGTATTCATTTTCACTGTGATACACTGATCTATTTTATTCATACATTAGTAACCTTCCTGCGTTTCCTCTTAAACCGGTCAAGCTTCCTACAGTCAGGACAATACCAAACTCCTTTTGGTTCTGTCTTTAGTCCAACACATCCAAAGTGAAACCACTCAAATCTGCACTGACTATTTTCACAGGCTACCATTTGACCATACTCTATGTCCTGGCAATAGCAAAATACTGCTTGGGAAGAACTATCTTCTGTGGAAACAGTATGGTCAGTTGTTCTCGTAAAGAACTTTCCCAACAAGCTCTGGAAGAATGGCTACTTGGAAGATGTGAAGCGCTTTCTCACATATTTCTGACCACTTCTTTTCGTCAAACAAAACTTCCTCTATATATAAATCTTTCTCGGTCCATACCACAAAGAATGCTCTTTCCATACCACAAACACCCAGTTGTGTTTGCACTTGGTACCAGTATGCATGTGATTTCGCAAGTTTATTTACACCATTTTCATCCTTCTGTAGGCAGAAATCCTTGTCGCTTACATTTGAAATGATTTCAGCTCACGTTCAAAAATTGGGGAAAGGCAACAAAAAAAATTTTGAGTGAGTTTGTTTTTTGGGGCTTTTGGGGTTGGGTAATGTGCCCTTTATTTTTCCCGGTTCATTTGAATGCTTTAGACCCACCCTTTTCCCATGGTAACCCCCCATTTAGTACCCTCTTTTTGGGTAGTTTTACCCTTTGGGAAACAAATTTTTTCTTTTTTTCAAATTTTTCTGAGGGTTTTGCGGAATTTGGGTTTGGGGGGCAAACGTTTTTTAAATTCGAAAAAGCTGTCCCTCTCCCAGAGGGGAAACCCCTTTAAAAAATTTGGAAAAAAAGGGTTGCCCTGGGAAAGAAATTAACCAAAAAAATTCCCTTTTAAGAACAGATTTCGGTTTGTTTGATTTCTGTACATGAGGGAAAAATTTTTTAAATGAAAACCCCCTCAGCCCCGTCTTTTACTGGTTTTTTTTCCGGGAAGGGCCCTCAACATGATCTGATTGTTGTTTTGACACTGTCACTTCACGCCCATTCTCAATAAAATAAAGCATTTGAGGTTGAAAAATATTAAAAATTTGATGTTGTCATTGTGTCCATTTTTTGTCGCGCTGAAGTAAAAAAGTTTAGGTATTTTGCTAGTTTGCCAGAAAATATTTTGAACAAAAAAACTAATGATATAACAGGATGGCATTTATTTCGGTAATGACACTGTATTTCTTCGTAACGTAGATTTCAGCTCTAATAATGTAACATATTGGCTGCATATTAAAACAAATGTCTGTATAATATATCAAAATCTGTAAATTCCTCTATCTAGAGGGGGGATTTTATAACCCCCCAGAAAAAATTAAAAAAAGTTGGATTACCTTGCTAATTTTTCAGTCAATTTTTTAAAGTTAAATATTCGTAAAAGCAAAAATAGTCAATTTTGAAAATATTATTTTATGTCTTCATTCAAAGGATATATGTCATATATAATATATGAGAGGTCGAATGCATACACAAATTTTGTATTAGCAATTTTTTTCTCAAAATATTCAACTTTCCACTTTCTTAATATTTGGAAAATTTAGTACTAAACAGTTCGATATTTATCCCCATATAGGATGTCACGTATGTTTCATTTTATTCAAATGCAAGTAAAGGTTGAGAAAACATTTTATTTTTTGTAAAATAATTTATATTTATGGATATTATTTTAACATTATTATATATATGAATGAAATACGGCCAGTAAGCTCTTTGCAGAAACGAATTAGTTGTTGCTGAGAACATCAATATCTTGTTAATATATTTTTTAACATTTCTGCTGGTACCATCAACATATTATTTAACATATCTTTCCTTTGTAAAAACAATTTTGTGTCTTCTTACATCTAATACCAGGTTACCGTTACTAACAGGCATGCTAATCCCAACTTTATTCTTTAATTTCAAAAATTGTTGAATTGTAAGTTGGAGTAACGTATGTTTCACACTCGCTTATTTATGAAACTTTATCACGGAATTTTTAAACTTACATTTAAAATCGACTTTTTTATTTAGGAATCAAATGCACATCATTCTAGTGTCATAAAAATGCGATTTTATGTATTTATATATATGCATGTGTAAACAATATAAAGTCTTTTTGATAAAAGTAACGTTTGTTTCACTGTGGTTACTTAAACAAGTAAAAAACGACCAAAGTGAACAAAATTTACTTACTAATGTCAAACAGAACTTAAATGTTGATGTTATACGTGCTTTCTGACTTCAATTCCTTTTGATAAACTTACTTTAAAAAGTTGATAACGTATGTTTCTGTAACGTATGTTTCATTTTTACATTGAAAGTGGGTTAAAAATGACACAAGACCGTTTAAGCCGCCATAATTTGTGGTTAATATATCAGATTTACACACATGTTAATTTTCTTTCTTGTTTGGATTCTTCTTTGAATGGATTGGCTCTTAAATAGTGGTAACGTATGTTTCTTTTTAAAGTGCTGTGAAAAAGATTTGAATAAAAAATGAAAATTTCCGAAAATAGAATGATATTTGAGAGGCTGCAAGCTTATTTTTACTTATAATTATATATATGCTGTATTATTAAGCATGCATCGATTCAATTATGTAATTTGGGTTTCACTTCTTATTGTTTTAGGTTTGTCACTATTTATTTATATGCATTTGGCGACATTTAAAATAAACCCTTTAAATCCCAAATTTTAGTTTTTAAAAACCAGCCAAAATTTTTTTACCAATAATCAAAGGGGGGCCACATCACCGAAAATGACAAAATCGAAACATTTTTTTGTTTTTTCGGGAACTTTTTTTTTCTAAAACACCAATTTCAAATTAAAAAATTTTTAGGGGGCGCAGAAACGTATTTTAATTTTAGGGCATTAATTTGGTACTTTTTTAAAAAGAAAAATAAAAAAGATAAAAAATGAAAAAATGAGGTGTCCCTTTAGAAAAATTTGGCACCCCCTTTTCTAACGACAATTTTTGGACCCCCCAAAAAAAAACCTTTTCGTATAAAAAGGCTCCCCATTTGGAACATCAAATCCCCCTGTGTTTTATTGGGGGAATAAAAAGGGGATCAAATGTTTTTGTTTTCTGAAAAAAGTCATTATTTTTAAAATTAAGGGGCACTGTATCTTTAAAACCCCCGTAAAAGCAATTTTTGGAAAAGGTC